CTTGGATAATGCATATCATTTTGCATCAAACTGATTCGGATCATCTGGTGCAGTGACCCAAGATTCTATCTTTGATCGAACTGCGTTAACAGATGGACTCGCCATAGGGACATAATTGCCGGTTCGAGGATCTGGTTTTCTGAAAAAAGTGGGACGGATACAATAAAGAAAGGGTTTTCTTCTAAGAATTGCTCGCAGTCGAAGTAAAGTTTGGTTCATATAAAACCTAATTTTGGCAAAATTAAGTTGGGGGAAAAATTACACCCAAAGTTCTAAATGTTTGGCCAATGTCCAATCAAATTCTAAACACTTGAATTTTGGCAATCAAGTCTTGAATGTTTTGAATGTGATGTAATCGAGTCCCTCCGACGATCGTTTAGGCGAATCTACTCATGTGGTACGCCGAAATCTGACATGGCGTTTTCTAAATATTTTTACCATGTATGGAACTAACATCGCTTTGAAGGTTTAGGGCGATTGGCCCTCGAGGCGGGTAGGCCGGGGCTTGGGAGCCCTCACATGGTGATGGCCCCACAGCTAGCCACCACCGCGCCAGTGCCGACCGACCCTTGTTTGACGACTTGAGGGTGGCAATATCGGCCCAAACCCTCTCTCTCTCTCTCTCTCTCTCTCTCTCTCTCTCTCTCTCTCTCTCTCTCTCTCTCTCTCTCTCTCTCTCTCTCTAGTCTTTTATTTTTTTAAATTTTTTTTTTGGCTTAATTAGCTTTTCTCCATGTTATCGGCTTTTCGTTAATTCTTTTAATAGTTTTTCTGACGCGGCACACATATGCAAGAATTAATTGAAAAGCATCATGCCGAAGTGTGGTGTACCACGTAAGTAAATTTTGCCGAGAGCGCTCATCCGAAGTACTAAATTGCACTCAATAAAAAACGTTCATTAAGACTTGATTCACATCGGGCCAAACTTGCATAATTTTCCCGTAGATGTATTTCTTATACACATCATGTGTACTCCGCATATTGATGTACACAAATTCCATTTGGATTATCATGGTGTCTATCCTAAGTTTAAAAGAATCTTTACACATTCATCGTCGGACAAATGACATGTATTTTTATGGATTATATATTAAGTAAATTAATAAAGAGCTGCACCTAACCAATCTCTTGTCATCAGCCCTAATTTATTTTTTCAATTAAGTAGTGAGTGGAGCAACCGTGTCTTGACGGGGAAGTGTGAACGGGGATGCGTTTTCACATACTCGAAAAGAACCTTTTCAAAACCTCGTGGTGGACAAGGAAACGAGTCATAAAGCGACACCAGAAACCCTAATTTTATCTTCTTGGCTCCCCTTTTCTTCGTTTAATTGGCCACAGAGGTTCCCTCTGCTTTAGCATGGCCCTCTCGCGCGGGGACACGTGGACCAGTCGAATCGAAAAGCAGAATGATTTTTCAGATCTAGGGCTTTGAACTTTTTCCCACGTTGTTCTCACTTGTGTGCATAGAAATGTGTATCACGACTCGTCATCGTCTCAGGTTTCAAAAAAAGCAAATAATGTAGGGAACCCACTTTAATTATTTTTTTTATTGTTGGTCCTTTTTCCTAAGAATATACTCCATATTATTTATAAAAAAGAAATTGGAAAGAGGATAAGGGAAAGGATGGTTCAGGTAAATTACCTAGAAAAGGGGTAATGATGCAAGCAGATGCTGTCAAAATCAAGATGGTGATGTTTTTAAAGCTTAACGAGGAAGGACAGCAGACAGACCAACCGACTAAGATGGTCAGATTGTATTCTAGGGTAATCTCTGACCGGTGTCCCTCTCTTCACAAAAGCTCAAATCAGGGAAACCAATTAACTCCGTTATTGTTCTGTACATCTGTACAATGAATCTGGAAATCATCCCCTGTGCACAGAAAAGCGGAACCCTTTCCCATTGGAAACAGCTACTAAATCTTGTTACCCCGAACGATACTGTGTTAAGGCGTGCGCGCCAGAGTGCTAAGCAAATGAGGTCCCTTATTGGTGGTATGGTGTAATGCAAATCGATAAACATATTCTAATTGGCCTATTATTAATTGATTTAAATTTTTTGAGTAAAGATGGATCCAATAAAGCACATTGACGACTTCAAATTTGGAATTTGGACTTCCTCTCCATGATTTCCTTGGATGAAAGTATCAGATTTCTACGCCACATCTCGAACAAAAAATATTACGTTAGTAATAAGTCCGTCAACTAGAAAAGATATATCCTCACATATCACCAAATATTTTCTCCTTCTTGATATGGTATATCGATACATTCCATGCTGACTTTAAAAGTTTGGTCTTTAAAGTCTTGACTCTTCATAGCCGGCAAACCCTGATGTAACTCTCCATCACATTCGCCTTTAGACCACCTATCTTACTTGTAAAGCGAAAGAGTTCACATAATATTCCTGAAAATACAATTGAGTCCTAATCAAACCTTTTTCATTCAGTCTACTTATCTTCTAAACTTTTTTTTAGAAAGTATAATCGAGTCTTTCCTACCCTTACCGCTATTGGAAATTGCCCTTGTGATGACGATGAACTACTTACATGGCGATTTTAAATTGTACCATTCGATAAAAAATTAGGATGCAATTAAATTTCCCGCGACGTTTAATGTTACTATTCAATCATATCGAAAGGTTTGATAGTCAATTGGTCCATCTCATGAAACCCAAGGAGTAATACATGCCATTTCGTATTATTGGTGTTTATCTGCGTAGACTTCTGTGTTTAGGTATTAATTTCTTTCTTGTTTTGCGATATGATGACACGATATGTTGGTTTTTTTCTAGTGCCGACACAAATTTCCTTAGAAGGGCCACGTTCTTCCTTCATTTCCGATTCCTTCTAACCACACTTCTAATTGGTGGGTTACAAACATAGACATTATTGGTTTTTAATTTTAGTTAAACTTGCAGACGTGCGATGTTCGTAACTTGTAACTTACCAATTAGAGACATGGATGGGAGAAATCTGATCCAGCCAATAATGGAGATAAATACTGCCCTCCTTCCAAAACTATAGCATTCAAACAAAAGCATCATAAATGACAAAAACCGGTCTCAAGAATAGAGAAGCGAAAATTATGACCAAAAAAAAATCTTTAAACGGATTAAAACATCCATATGAGAGAGAATTTAGGTCCTTTCTCCAATGCTTCACGCTAGCTAGGTTGACTTTGTGTTCACAAATAAATGTGGATGATTTCACCGACCTCATGCAATTTATAGGTGAATGTTACCGAATCGGATTTGATTGAACTAAACACGATAGAATAATATAATTTCTCCTTTTTTATGCTTACAAGTTACAATAATATGTTCAGAGCTCTTTGAGCATCAAACTAATACATATTTTAACGCTAATTCCGGTCCCACAAACATTAAATTGAAGGAATGTGAAAGTTTTAGTGATATCTAAGTAGTTGTTCACTTGTTATGACTCAAAAATTAAAATTAGAAGTTAAAAATCCAATATGGGCTAAGTTATATATGCTTGTCGTACGTGGATCTCTAGTCAAAGCCCATTGTTGAGTCAGTTCGTGGGCTTCCATTCAAGGCAAAGTGGACAAGAAGATCACAAGAGCGTCCATGTGAATGTATCGTGTTTTTTTTTTTTGAAATAAGAAAAAAAATGCAACATGTCAACTAGGCTTAAAGTGTACTTTTTCGTGTCAAATTCAGATTGTGAACCTAAGTCAATTCATATTCATCATAGTAAAACATTAAGTTTTTATTAAAGTAAGCTAAAATATGACGAGTTTTAAATTCATATTTTTTCTTACCAAAATTAGGCTTTGTCGAAACTCTACTTTCATAAACGTGCTAGAATAGATCACTATCATTCAGAGAAACACTTTTGTGACCTAAAATACAAAAATTTCCAATTCTGATGTTGTATTATATGCATATCTTTTCGGGGTCCCTTCTATGCGGCCCCATAAGAGAAAAATGAGACTAGATCCTGCCAAATTGATCGTAATCTTCATTTGAAATTCGTTGTTTTCCTCATTAATAGTAATTTACCTGCTACAAGTCATAAGTGTTATGAAGGTTTGGGGGCATGAGGGCTTGTGGCCCTCGCCTAGCCGAACTATAAGGGCTGGGAGAGGGTGTCATGACCCTTGCACAGATCCACAGAGAAACAATAAAAAAGAAAGAAGAAAAGGAAAGGAAAAAAGAAAAAAAATTAGAAAATTTTAAAATAAATAGCGAAAATAGTCAACTTTAGTGATTTCTGATCAAAATTGGCCGGATGAATTATATTGAATAATCATCAAAAGTTTTATTGCTAAATTGGCAAAATTGAAAAGTTTAGAATTGAATTGGCCGTTGTACAAAATTTTAAAGACTTTTTCAACATAGAAGGAAAAAAACATGCCCACTTGTGAGAGTAGGCAAAAAGTGATACTCTCTCTAGAAGTATTGTGACTTTGAGGATAGGTTATGAAGTATTAGATCATGAGGTGCAACAGATATTTTTGAACATTGCATGTTTTTTATTGGATCATCTAAACAAAATCTCCGACTTACATGTGGGATGCCTGTGATTTTTTCTCGGAAAGTGGGATTGAAGTATTGTCTCTTATCTCTCTAATTAATAATTTAAGGAGAGATAAAATTGACTCGGATGAGAGAGTGATGATTAGGCAATCTTCAAGCTGATGTGGCATGGAAAAGTCTAGTTTTGGAAATTATTTTGAGAGAAATCTATTTCGAAAGTGTTTTTTTTTTTGGAGGATTATGTTTTGAAAAACAAGGTCGATTGTGGATCGAAATATAATAATAAATTTTCCTTGAATGTCTTAATAAAGTGTCTAGGAGACATTTTATTACCAAAGTCCTATCACTCCTATATAATCCGACTATTGATACTTTCTTGTCATTGACTCATGTACATTAGGAACATCAGTATTAACCCTCCTTTTCAGTAGATGGGCTTTCACCATCCAAGCTACTAACCAGTTGGCCTCTCCTATGGAGTGGGACTATTTGAAGTTTTTGATGTTGGGCCAGCAGAGCTCTCTGCATTCAGTGATAATCTGGGAGGAAGCATAAACGACAAGCTGTCAGATTCCAACGTGCAGAAGGTCCCGTTCAGTTCGTGGGCTGAAGTAGTTGACCGTCTCCGAGCACGCTGGGGCTTCCGCCGGCGCAAAGCCGTGGTAACCCGTCACCGGTCTCGCAAATCCATCGACGAATTTCCCTGGAAAATCACGGCACACGCACCGCTGTAGCGCCGGCAGTGGACCCATTAAGACGGTGAGTTTTCTGGCTTCGATCCTGGGTGTTTTTCCATTTTGTTCCATCTAATATTTAGCTTCCGTGCATCGCCATCTCCGCTTCGGCAACTGACCTGGGGTCGGGGGCTCTGTTTCCTCAAGACAAAATTGTTGCGGGCTTTCTGCGAAATTTAGTGTAGTCCTAAACGATACTCGTTGGTTTTCTTTTCTGTTTTCTCATTAATAGAAAAAGCAAGTCAAGTCCAAGTCGTGCTCGCTTTCAGTCAAAATCCCTTCGTAGGTTCTGCGCACCTTCTGAATAATGCCGCGGAAATTGCGTGTGCAATTATCGCCGTGGAAGGGTCTTGGACCGTTAGACGGCAAGAACTCATCATTGTTCAAGCACGCGCAGTAGAAAGTGTTGTGTGTTGGTAATCGATCCTCGAAGGCTGAGAATCGGTGGAGATCACAGCAGCGGGTGGATTTTCTTGTTTGAGCACTCCTCAGGTAATCAACGACTCCTTGCTCTTCTCTTCTCTTCTCTGCTTCCTGCTTTGGTTGCTCTATTTTCTTCTGATGGGTTGTATCAAGAGTCTTTATTTTTGTTCAAATGTAGCTCCGAATAGAGTTGAGAGACATTTCTGCAAATACCAGATCTGGGATTTCATATTCCTCTTCTTTTGAGGCTCTGCTCCATCAATCTCTTTTACTGCCCTTGTATTAGTACAATCCTCTCGAGATGAAAAGAAGAGTACCCACTGATCCAGATGATCCGATACATGGGGAGTCTTCCTCATCGACCTCTCCACATGTAGGTGATTGTGAATGCAGAACCAAAAAGCCAAAAGGAAATGACCACGAAGTATTCTTGAGCTTTAGAGGGAAAGACACTCGCAAAGGCTTCAGCGATCATCTCTATACTAGCCTTGTCAATTCAGGGATTCATGTGTTTAGAGATGACAATGAGCTCCATGTTGGTGAGGAGATTGGTCCGGAGCTTCTTTGTAGTATTACGCAGTCTAAAATCGCGATCCCAATTATCTCAGAGAACTACGCTTCTAGTAGATGGTGCCTTCGCGAGCTGGCTCAGATGTTGAAATGCAAGAGAAGCAGAGGGCAGATAGTGTTGCCCATATTTTATAAAGTGGAACCCTCGCAGTTGCGACATCTTACAGGGAGTTTGGGAGATGCTATCAATGCACATAAAGAGAATTTGGATGAAATGGTTGTGAAGAAATGGGAAGAAGCCCTTGAAGAAGTCAGTTCCTTGAAAGGATGGCAATCGGACAAAGTTGATAATGGGTACATTATTCTCCACCAAAACTCTTTTAGTTTCTCAAAACTAGATCTTACTTGAAAAAGAATGTAAATATTGCCATCCTATACTAAAACTCATTGTTATTTGACAGGCATGAAGGAACATTGGTTAAAATTGTTGTCGGAAAAGTTATGAGTGAGTTGAAAAGACTTTTTCAGCTAATTATTCCCGAACGGTTGGTGGGAATTGATGATCGTGTGGAGCAGGTAATGAGCTTGATAGATGCTAAATTCAATGATACAAGGATTATAGGAATTTATGGAATAGGCGGCATCGGTAAGACAACTCTTGCAAAGGTACTGTACAACAAACTCTCCGGTCATTTTGAGTATCTGAGCTTTGTGGCAAATATTCGAGAAACATCTCGGCGCAAGGGTATTGAATGCCTACAAAAGCAGCTCATTTACGATATACTAAGAAGTCCGCACGATGTTTCTAATGTTGACGAGGGAATCGGTGTCATCAAATCTCGATTTACAAGTAAGAAAGTTCTCATTCTCCTTGATGATATTGAGGACAAGGCTCACTTGAATGCTTTGGCTGGAGATGGTAGTTGGTTTAAAGCAGGAAGTATAGTCATCATCACAACTAGAAACAAGAGCATTCTCGATGAGGCTGGTGTAGGCTACATGTACCAACTCAATGAGTTGTCTTTAAATCAATCATTGATTTTATTTAGTAGACATGCATTTCGGAAGGATTCTCCACAGAGTGATTATCAGAGTATCTCTCGTGATGTTGTATCTACTACCGGGGGGCTTCCGTTAGCTCTTGAAGTTATAGGTTCATTCTTATGTGGAAAGACAAAAAAAATATGGAAAGATACATCAAAGAGATTAAAGAAAGCGCCTGATAAGAAAGTCCAAGAGACTTTGAGGATAAGTTATGAAGCATTAGATCATGAGGTGCAACAGATATTTTTGGACATTGCATGTTTTTTTATTGGATCATGTAAACAAAATCCGACCTACATGTGGGATGCTTGTGATTTTTTCCCGGAGAGTGGGATTGAAGTATTGTGTCTTATGTCTCTAATTAAAATTGACAAAGATGGCAAGCTAATGATGCATGATCAACTGAGAGATTTTGGAAGGGAAATTGTTCGTCTAGAAAATCATAAGGAGCCTCAAGGCCGTAGCAGATTATGGATTTATGAGGAAGCCATAGACGTGCTTGACAGCAACAAGGTAAGAGTTTTCTCTACTTGTCTTAGTTAGTGAATGTGAGTCCATCTTCTTCTTCTTTTTTTGTTTGAGATAAAAATTATTGTTAGTCCCGAGTCTCCAAAACTTGCCGCTTCTACCAACAAAAGAGCTCCTTCATTTAATTGCTGTTCTTGCCTGATTCTAAGACACAATTGTGGAGCAATTTCCTGGTTATTGATGAATTTGAGTTCCTAAAATATTTGATTACAACAATGGAAAAATGTAAAAGGATTGATTTCCTTCAGTATCGAATGTAATCTCTCTTCATGTCCAATCTTTTTGGAAGTAAGATCTCATTAATTTATGGGCAAATTGATCAAAAAAATTTGGATTCCTACTATTTCATTGCGACAAAATTAACACACCAATGAAAAGATTTCGTCAAACATTTGTAGAAAAGAGGAGTAAAAATCATTGATATAACATTTGATATATGACCGAATTTTCTTCCATATACAATGAAAAACACTTATTCAAGAAACACATGACAAGAAATGAATGTAAAACACGTCTGTACTTTTTCAGATTACATTCTCGTTTTCATATCAGAAAGTTGAAAGTGAGAAGCCTACACCATTTTAGTGTGGCATCAAATTGAAATTAGTCTAGCTTTTCTTAAATACAGTTTGTTTCATCTCATCATTCAAAACTTACGGTCCACAATGTTTTCTAATTGTAGGGCACTAGTAAGATTGAGGCCCTTCGTCTAGACAAATATGATTGCAGAAGAAGCTACACAGGTGAACAATTTAAAGAACTGACCAATTTGAGGTTCCTTAAAGTGAGCACTGCGAATCTCATTGGAGATTTCGTGAACTTGCTTCCTCAATTAAGATGGCTTCAATGGGAGGATTGTCCCTTGGATTTCACAGCGGCCAACTTTCATCCGAAGAAATTGGTCGTGCTTGATCTCTCATGGAGTGGGATTTTGGAGGACTGGGGAGGATGGGATCCGCTCAAGGTAAGATGTAGAGACGGCATATCTCTTGTGGATAATCACGTGTTGTTGAAGGTCCAATCTCACCAAGTTCTCCTTTTCTTCTTCTTTTTTTTTTTTCTGGAGTGGTTTAATATCCTTCGTTAGATTAGGAATGTTTCTCTAAATATGAGAGGAATTTGTAGGCACCTAAATATACGATAAGCTTCTGTCCTTAATATCTTAATTTAATAATATCCTAACAAACACTCATGCTTGACACTAGACATATTGAAAAAAAACTTGTTTTAACTGTATTAATTAAAATCTATTAGAGATATAATTACAGTATTTGTGCCTATCTTGAGTTTATTTAATCTAAATTGTTTGTGGCTTCTAAGTGAATCTTTCCTGATGTATGTCCTTTTAGCAATTCTTGTTACATATCTATATCAATCTTCTTTCGCGAGAAATGAAAAGTTACAATTATTTAGGTATAGTTTGGTACGATCAAAGAAACACTCTTAACTGTTTTTGACCCGATATACTATTTGAATGGTCATAGACAGAATCAATTGTTTTAGAAACAAAAGTAAACACTAATATTTGAAAATAAGTGCATTGCTTCATAATGGTTTTTGTGAGGGCGAATTATATGTTAGTTTTGTGCGTGTTAGCCAGTTGATATTTATTTGAGCCAAATTGGAAGATATGCCTAATGCAGCAAGAAAATGAAGTTAGCACTTGTATGTATGTCCCTAACATTCTTTTTGCAATAGATATGCTCAAAAATTATTTCTATGTTGGTGATGTAGCCAAACACTACTACTACTTAAGGACTGTGTAAATAGAACAAACGTGACGTAGTGGAGTACCGTAGCAATGATAGCAAGGGAACCGAGCTTTGAAACATGTACATATTGTTTTAAAAAGTCTAAATAAAAGGAGCAGTGCAGCATTGGTTTCTTTTAAGGAATTTTAAAAAGTCCAAAAAAGAACAAGGGGTATCGGAAAAGCAGTTCAATCTCATTTGGGTATCCTCTCTTTTCTTTCAGATGGCAACCGAGCTCAAAGTTCTTAACCTCTTGAATTGTCGATCTTTGAGAAGAACTCCTGATTTGTCTGCTTTCAAAAGCTTGGAGATTCTTTTATTTGAAGGATGTTGGCATCTGGAAGAGATTCATCCTTCTATTGGTGACATCAAGACCCTTGTCTCCTTGAATGTCAGGAGTTGTAATAGACTGGAGGAGCTACCGGCAGGAGTAGGTAGAATGGAAGAATTAAGGGAGCTTCTCTTAGATCATACTGATATACAAGAGATTCCTATTTCAGAAGGTTGTTTGATGAAGTTGGAGACACTTAGTGCCTCGTCTTGTAGACAACTAGCTAAACTTCCAGAATCCATGGGCTCCCTTGTGTCGTTAACTCTATTGGACCTATCTAGGACACGGATTGAAGAATTACCCGAATCGATTGGTTCTTTAAAGGAGCTCAAGACTCTTGATGCCTCTAATTGTGCATCGTTAGCCTGCATACCCAGCTCTATAGGTCACCTAGCATCTCTGCAGCGCTTGTTATTATGGGGATGCCCCTCGTTGAGAGAAATTCCCGATTCGATTGGAAAGTTGGCATCATTGGCCGAACTGCATTTAGCAAGGACAACAATTGTGGAATTACCTGAAAGCATTGGGAATCTGCAAAATTTGAGGATCTTGGACATTCGTCGAACTTACATAACAGAATTGCCTAGTGCTATCGGAATGTTGGCGAAACTCTCAGAGTTGAGAGCTTCAGGATGCAAAAATCTGGATGGACTACCTCGTAATATAGGCAAACTGGTTTCGTTGAACAAGCTTAATTTAGACAAGTCGGGCATTACGGGCTTGCCAGAAAGCATTTCTAAGCTCTCTTCTGTCCAAAACCTGAGTGTTCGATGTTGCCAAAAGCTTCGAGAACTACCAGAACTGCCCTTTGGAATAATAGCTCTACGTATCACTTGCCAGAGCCCGTCGTTGCCAAATCTTTCCCACCTAACCCTTCTCAAGAAACTCACTCTTTTTGATTGCCGTTGGCTTGAATATCTCCCAAAGCTTCCCGTTGGGCTATCAATGCTTTCTATTACACGTTGTGGAAAATTGAAAGCGGTGACAAATCTGTCGAACTTGAAGCACTTATCTGAATTGTATCTTGAGGAGTGCTATGAGCTAACAGAAGTCACCGGTCTGGAAGGTTTACAATCCCTCTATAACTTACGTGTACGGGAATGCCCTAATATATCTAGGCTTGATGATGTTGAATCCTGTGATTCTGCATCCTCAACATGACATTGAGAATCAGACTTTTAGATTAATAATGTTTTTGCAAGTTCTGTATTTGAAGGTTGTGGTTGCTCGCAGGTCATCTATTAACTTGTTTGTTTTGTATACATGGCAAGTTAAACTTCTATCTTTCGTTTGATTCTTATAATGCCAGGCATACTGGTTAATACGTGATGTTGACATGGTGGAAATTACAAGATGTTTTGTCTTGTAATTTCCTTAAGGTGGACGATTGACGTCCTATGCTTATCAATGACGTGAATTTGCCTGCTTTTTCTGATTGCTTGAATTGTTTTTTTTTTTTTTTATCGTTCTGCCATATTTCAACAGTAATTCACTCTATTTCTGTTCTCATGTGATTGCTCAAAATAATTTAACGATTAACTCATGGATTATTAAGGAAGCTTCTGGTGGCAAAGGAGAGAGATCGTACTGCTGGATTTGTGGTACTCTCGATCCCCAGAATTTCCTTGAAGCTAATTTCAGAGGATGCGAATTTGATAGGCGGCAAGTCTGCAAGAGTGAGTTCATAGTTTCGTTGTCATTTTAAGTTCTTTATGAATTGTCAATCTGTCGAGTTTGATCCTAACAAGATTCACACCGTTTATGCTGTCACCACGTGATTTATCTTCTGCTCATAAGTCATTCTAATGTTCGCTACGTCAATGAGGATTTTGTTCTAGTGATGCTCTGTTTCGACTTTCCAGAATGCAAGTTCTGTCTCCTGCTGCTTTCTGATTTTCTTATGATCTTCGTCTTCATGATATAGGAACAATGAATAGAGCCAAATTTCAGAATTACGGAGAACCGTGTATGTATACCAAAGAGACTCATGAACTATTACAAGTTTGAGCAATCTTATCTGTAAGAGTCATGCTGGAATTATGAGAAGAAGCCTTTCTAAGGAGTGTATTCACTTTACGACGAGTAGCAACATCTCACAATCTATCAATACTTCACCTATATGAATTGTCATCTGTCGAGGGGGACACATGTGGAAAGTTATTCAATTTTAAGAATAATCATGGGATAGTTAGTCCATGTGGATGCAAAATGGAAAAAACTTCTAAATTTTACTCATAAAGATTAAACGAACCTTGCACGTTAGTACTCAGTAAAGGGAATTCTCCTAGCCAAAAATAAGGAATTTCTATGTAGGACAATTTTATTGTACATGTGAAGTTTAGTCTATCGAGATTTAATGTGGTCTTCTATGTTATTAAAAATATCAAGACGTGTCTATTCGAACTGTTCGAAACAAACGCGGAAAAATAAATACAGAACACAAGGATTTACGTTGTTCGATCACAAGGTGATTTACGTCCACGGGCGAGGCAAAACAAGATTCCACTATAATAAAAAAGAGTATAGTTTTCAGAAGTCGAAAAACAACTTAACAAAACCTCACGGCTCACGAATCTCTCTTAATCAATGAAAAAACATAGCCGCAGTATAAATAGGGCTCTCCAAAAAATTTCCTCGGGGGCTACGCACCCAAACCCCTCGAGATATTTGTTCGCTTGCTCCAGCTTGGGTGGACCGCCATAGAGATTTGTTCGCTTGCTCCTGATTGGGCTTATCGGCCCAACCCTCCGCTTCACGAACTAAATCTTAATTTTTTCTCCACTTTTGGATCACACAAAAAATATATCGGGTCGGGTGATATACCGGATCGAGTACATAAAATTCGAGACATATTTAACGTGAACTTACTTTTTCAAAACAAAGTGTCCATTAATGTCAACATAGGAGAGTCATCTAGAAAGTCCGCCGCTCAAAATGCAAAGAGGAGTGTCTGGTCCAAGCGTACTATTTCTTAATTGTATGTCTTTTCATGCAATAAGATAAAAAATAACACTAATCGATGGGGCATTTCTGTCTAAAATTCGAGAAAGAAAAGAATTGTAAGTATGCTTATTTAAAAAAGTGAAAAGTGATGCATATTTAAATGCCACTATTTTGAATATATGGATAGAAGCTCTATTTATCTATGTTATTTGAAACGGGGTTTAATATCATGAAAAATCCAAAATTGGCACATCTATGATAAACTAAATTGGCACATCTATGACAAACTTACCCAAAACATTTTTGGATCACCAAAAATCTCAAATTGGTACACCTATGATAAATTTACCCAAAACTAATTTTTGAGTCACTAAAAACTCCAAATTGATATACACATAACACATTTATCCTCCGTTAGTTTCCGTCAAATTTTAATATGAAATTGCTGAACTATATGACACATGGCAATAACTTGGTTAATGTGGCAAGTCCACGTGGAAATCCATAACTTTCTCTCTTTGTTTTTTCAATTAGGCCTAATTTGAAAACAAATGGGGCTCATTCTCTGTCTCCCTCATAGCATGAAAAACCCTAGATTGTCTTTCGACAACTTCGTTGATAGAGCTGGAAGATGATGCGCTTTCTTCGAACCACTTCCACTTGAAGCCATTGGACATCCTAATTTGGGGATTTGGATGAGTTAGTTGTCTCACCCTTCCGAGCCTTGCAAACTTGCTACTCCGGTTCACTCAAGCCGGTCGCGATGATTTGTGCACCTTTGATGCTATACGTATATGCTTAATGAGGCCTCTTGTTTTGAAATGGAACTTTTCTTTACTACGCCAAGAGCTTCTTTGTGTTATGTCAAGATATTTACCTTGCTATCGCACTCATTTCCAAGTCTATGTTCATCACCGTATTAGCTAGCTCGCTAAGTGCTTTCCCACGTCATGGGCACTAAACTAGGCTCACTTTTGTTGCTTGCTCATGCTTATGCTCGCTGCGGCGTTTTCATATGCCTCGATTTGGATTTTTATGATGTGCTCAGCAGGGCCCTCATTAGACTCATTTTGTTCTCTCGCTGATTCATGTTGTTGCCAATGGAATGTCTTGAGCAATTTTGGTGATCAGTGTTCGTTTAACTTGTTGAGAGAACTCTGCCATCCGAATATTTTTGTTGTTCATTGGCAAAGATAGTTGCTTTAGGCTGGGACTGGAGGACTTTCTCATCTTACCTATAAATTAGGAGCAAGTAGAGAGTCTCTCCGTCCAGTTTTGTCAGGCTAAAGCGTTCGCAGTCTTTCGTCTCTTCCCCTTCAGTCTCCTTCCACCTAGCTACTTCCATCTAGGTACACAAATGTTTCACTTCTTTAATCACGAGGATAATAATATTATTACCGTCCAAGTTTTGTGCTGTGATTATTTTAGTTATTCTCAAGTAAGTGGAGTGTGCTTTTATGCATCTTTATCCCCCTCCCTGCCAAGTGATGTTTCTCCTCTTTTTCTCTGTATGTGCTGGCATGTGCATCAGGAGAACATTGGGTTGGTAAAAGAAAAAGTGGGAAATCAAAAGAACTAAAAAAGAAGAAGAAGATAGGTAGTAGTTGAGAGCGGATGTGTGAGCAAGTGGGATGCGAGAAGAACAAAGACAGAGAGACGCGGACGAGAGAACTCGCGAGGAAAGGAGGGGGGAGACTTTGAATGCCCGTCTGCATTTGTCGCGGACGAAGATGAGGCGTGCTTTTACTTTCGTTTTGATTGTTAAATGCTATGTGAAACCTTGGAATCTTATGCTCCAAGCCCAGCATTTCATAATCTTTGACCGAAACAAAGATGCCTCTGCTTTTTTTTTTTCCTTCTATTTTTTTAGGCCGGCGCTATTTCCATTAAATGATTAAATCCACTCCCTTTTATGCTAAAAAGACAAAACTGTCATCGATCTTTGTGTTTAAAGTGATGGCCCCACTCCTTTCTTTTTTCTTTCTATTTTTCCTTTTTCTATTTAGAATAGCTACCGTAATTAAGCATTTTACATGTTTTATTTTTTAGCGTACTAAAAAAAGTGCATTCTCAAATATTCCTATAATGTTTTACATGCACCATGTAAAATTATCTCGCTAATAATAAGGAAAAAAGACAATCTTTGATATAAAATTGAAAAGTCTCTTCTTCATCATTGATCTTATAACAACTTATCTATTTTTTGTTCCTTCACACTTTCTTGGTGAACTTTTTATTTATTTCATTAGTCTAAAATATATATCAAGTCTCTTTATTTACTATATCGAATAATTTTTCTTTTTTCCTTATTATATTGGTGAGATACTTTTATATAGAGCATGTAAGACATTAGAGAAAGCACAATGAGGTATTTTGATATTTTTCGTAAACAGTTCATAGATGATATTAATTTTTATCAATTCAAAACAATGATATTTCACTAATATTTTGAAAAAAGATTCTTACTTTATGTAATGTTTTGATTTAATTAAATTTCATCTACTTAACAGTTTATCAATAAAATTTGATCGACAATGTAGAAAAGAACTATATTTCTTGGAAATTTCTCTTTTCGACAAAACAATTTTTTTATGGAAGTAATATTAACATTAAAAAAACATAGTATTTTTAATATACGTGAAATCTACAATAAACAAAAACTAAACGTATGAAATTCTTAATTATGCTAGGTAGATCCTACATAGATATAGAAACACTTTTAAAAAAAGGAAAGTAAATAAATTTGGTACCATTAATTTAAATTGCAATTGAATGATTAATGACAAATTTGTTTTTTTTGGTGAAAATTGAATGGATTGAGTCATATATGGGTGGAAACAGCTCCGCCCTTTTTTTTTTTAATGTTGGAATACTTTCAAAGTGGGGTAGAACCTATTTGTTCCCTGATCTATGGTTTCCCGGAGCTAACCATTTGATAAATTAGCCAAGATTTTGACTGGATACGAAATTATTGAAATTTTTCTTTTTTAGTCTTACTAAGGTTCAATTTCATCGCTTAGTTTTATTCATGCTTACTAATATCATCTTAGTATTGATTGCTTTGTGCATGGTTTGCTTTAGGATTACTTTTCATAAAGGATTGTCTTTATTTTATTAAGTTATATTTCGTTACCCCATATATGAAGTAGCTCATTCTGGGAGGAGTTAATGTTATTATAATATAACATATCTCATTGCGTGTACCCTTTCATTTTACGTATTAGTTTATGTTGACTATGTTTTAAATTCTTTATGGGCTTGGGTGTTTTTCTCAAGTTATTAGATTAAGAAGAGAGATAGAGTCTAAAATTTTTAAGCAACTTTTGTAACTTTTGAATTTCTATAGTGGATTTTGTTTCTTCTCTTCCCGTGGTTTTCCTATAAGGGTTTTCTTAAATCTATGTATTATTTTATTCTTCTTAGTTTTAATTATAGTTTCCACGTTAGTTATGGCAATCAGAATGCTCAAATACCTTATGCCTTAAGAATTGGTCTGAAATCCGCAAGAGCCAGTCGGAAGCTGGTTGTGAATTGGACGAAAAAGGAAGAGAACCTGTCTTGTCGGATAATAACCGATTCGGCTTGGGAGGATGAATCAGTTTGGTTTGCAGAGGAAGAACTAGCTGGCTATGCATCAGAGGCTGACGTGGTTGATGATGTGGCGCTAACATGGCAATCCGACGTTGCACTGACAAGGCAATCTGATGTGGCAATAATGTGGCAGCTACATGGCGTTGGCGTGGTGGCTGACATGTGCGTTGATTGGATGGCTTGACTTACGATGATGTGTTGATAACATGTGGGTGACGTCAATGATACATCATGTGCAGGAGTAGTTGGTGCGTGGATCCGAGAGGAAGGGCTCGTGGTAGCGGGTGAGAGTGCGTGCCACGGTAGATCGCGATGAAAATTCAGGATCGGTCTCATATGAGGGCGGCGAGTTTAATGATAGTTTGTTTTTCAAAACAAGCAATTGATAGTGTCGGAATTCAAGAGCGGCATGTTGCTACGACCTTGTGTAGAAAGACTCGATGAATCCTTCCTTAGACAACTAAAGCTCTAATACCAAGATAAGAATATGTGAACGAGAGAATTGTGTAATTTACTAATTTATGCATATTTAATAATGAAGAATACATTAGCCTCTCTATAACCTTTACAATATGACTATTTAAGATTACATAATATTATAATATCAATCACAATAAATTAAGTTAAAGAAAAGGACGCACAAACCTAGAGAAGTGGAGAATCATGAAATAGTTATGGAAAAATGGCTTAATTATTTTTCATTATTTCTAACTATATTAATAAAACATAATAACAAATATGAAATAATGATGTCCTTAGGCTGCATAAATATAATTTTGAGTCACATGCAAAATAAGACATTTGAGAGAATTAGATCATCACTATCATCGATATATGATTACAATTTAAACAATAATAATACTAATAAGACTAGATATTCATTTTAACTTAAAAAGAATTTTCTATGTATCACGACAACATCTGCGATCGACCTAACTGTAACTCCTACGCTCGACGGGGAATTTTCGCACCACCTCCCACGTATCTTCCTTGCCTCTTGCACATAACCATGAGCACTTTTGTCGTCATCAAAAAGCCACTCTCTCTCCACTTTTATTCCTTCGTCACAAAGCAAAGCACAAGACCTCACTCATCAATGGAGCGTTCCGCTTGGCCTAAGAACCTCTCCTCAAGCCGCAAGCGCGCGATCAAGGAGCTCCTCCATGCCCAGAAACCCACGAAGAAGCTCAGAGATCTCTTCGACGCTCACTCTCAAGCTGGCAATAACACAGGGCAGTCCTTGTTTTCGGAAGATCTGGTCGGCAACGTCGTCAGGTCGTTCAGCAACACCCTATCCCTGTCGAGGAACGCCCAGTCCGACGAGGTCTTGCAGCTCCCGACCAACGCCTGTGTCATGTCCGAGGTCTCCGAGAAGAGCGAGAGCATCATGACCCCGGTCCCGAGGTACATAAGGGCCAACATTCGTGTTTTTTTACTTCTGACTTTGTCTGAAAAGTAATTTATCTATTTAGGTGGAGTTTCGAGTAAATTTAAAAAACATATGAAGCTTCTTTTTGATAAGAACAATTACATATAAAGGTGAGCACCGCATGCTTGAAAATTACAGTGTGAAGATCTCTTAGAATTTAGGAAAAAGAGAAATGTGAAAAGACAGTTTTCCAGGATAAGAACAATATATGTGCCATAACTTCTATTGCGCTAACTCCATAACTTTTTTTTTTTTCGATTATTTGAATGCCAAATTTTTTTTAAATCGTTTACTTGAGTGCCATTGACAATTTGTGTGACTGGAAAAATAAGCTGACGTGGCTCGCCGAAATAATCCAATTAGCAAAAAGTAAAAGAAACAATCGTCGTTTTGGCCCTATTGGTAAAAAATTATAAAAAAAACTAAAAAAAAAGGGGGAAGAGATTAGTCGCTCGCCAAATCCTCTGTTTTTCTCTCTTCTTCTCCATGGTTGAGCCATGGTTTCTGAACAGAGATTAGTCATTCAAGGAAATGTTGAGGTTAAGAGCTTATAAAGGGGGAAAGACAGTGAACAGAGAGAGGGAGCTGAAAAATTATGAAACCTGAAGAGTCAAAGGTCAAAGAAAATTAATATGGGAGTTGAACTGGAAACAAGATGAGTCGACAAAACTGAGGGAAAAAAGAAAAAACAAGTGATGCTGGTGATTTTCCACCGATGCAGCCAATGTGGCATCTTCATCACCTTATTTTCTTTGCGATTTGCAGGATTCCTGCGAGGACCATGGCGATTCAGGTCCTGGACCCAACAATTTCTTTTGCGATTCCTCTGAATCAAGCACAATTCATTGCATCGCGCTATTACACTCATCATCATCTCAATCTCATTGGAAGCCGATTCAACTGGTCCCCACTTTACTTTGCTATCTCATAAGCTTGAACTCTCCGCTGCTCATCTTATGATCGAGCCTCCCTATTGCTCAAGCTTATTGCAAAACATTCCCCTTTCTAGAATTTAGGTTTCATTTTGAAATGAATTTGCGAAAGAAATGGCCACAGCGAAATTGTTTTTGCCCTTTCTTGCCACGTCAATTGAAGATTATCCTAGTTGGACTAAAATTTCTTTTAAAAAAGTCACATCACAGTAAAAATTTAATTTAAAATGCCACGTAGGACTATTCGCCGGGATATCCACTCAAGTGAACGATTTTTCACCGATTTGGTACTCAAGTAATCAAAAAAAAAAATTATAACACTTAAGAGAGTAACGTAAGAAAGTTATTTCACTCGTATTATCGTTATCCTCGTTTCCGCTTTGCTGTTGATATGATTTTGGGACACAACTCGACAGATCATAATTGGATTATAACCAGCTTGTCTAACTTGCAGAGTATAGAAGTTATATTTTATTTTTTCATTATCTTGTTATTGGACAGAGGATGAAAAACGTTTTATCTGGAATTAAATTATATTTATGGGTCTAAGCAATTCTAACATGAAATGGAAATTACTCATTTTTGCGTAGAAAGACTTTAGAGACACGGACAAGACTCGACTGGAATTTGATCAACCACGGGCACCAATGGAGGACATATAATCAGAAATCACTTCTCAACTTTGAGTTGCCCAGGTACTTCATAAATGATGCATCCGTTTTCATTAATTTCTCATATATATATTTTGTTTGTTTTGTTATAAGTTAAGATATACACATGGATCTTAATAATTTTAACATGAATTGGGAATTACTCATTTTTCCACATAAAGACGTCAGATGTATGGACAGTTGAGACGTCTGATTTGATCGACGACGGGTATCTATGGAGGAAATATGGTCAAAGACCGATTCTCAACTCCAAATTCCCCAGGTACTTCACAAATGATATACATTTTCATAAATATCTCATATATATGCATATATTGAGAAAAATATTGTATAAAGTCTTGCTTGATGTCTAAAACAAATATTATGTGGGCATCTTTACAATAAGTCATGTCTTCAAAATTAATAAGAAAAACATCCATCTATCAACGTGGCTAAATTATTTATGCTTCTCTCACAATGAACAATTAAGCAAATAATGTGTTATTGCTTGTGATTAGTGTTTGGGGGCACTTGCAGGAAGTACTTCAGATGCGTTCACCAAATCGATCAGGGATGTCAAGCAACCAAGCTGGTCCAAAGGACATTGCATGACCCACGCCTTTTCCTGATCACATACCGAGGCCGCCACACTTGCAAGATCATCCTCAAATCCCCCCACTCATCCTGGACTCACCAAGCCCTAGGGACGACTCCACCCCCCTAAGTTTCAACACTAGCCTCGTTGCTGAACAAGACGACGACGACAACAACAACAACCCCATCTTCTTCGACTTTCTATCAGTGAATCAGGAGCAAAAGTTGCCCAGTGAGGATGATCTGAACCCCCGCGGCCACAGCCATGACGACAATAGCAACAACAAGAATCAATCGGGGAGATCTAAGCCCTGTCGTCAGATCAAGGGATGTGATGTTTAGTGTTTAGGGTCTCAACAGTGCTGATATGATTGTGGGGTCTGAGTTTGATGATATGTTGGATTATGAACTTTGATGTTGATTTTGGTGTAGGTAATGAAGAGGTGTTTGCTAGATGAGTTTCCTTGAAATTATTTAATCCTCCGCCGCGATTTGTTAATGAGAAAAAGGAAACATATAATAGCTAGTGTAACAATATTATGCTGTCGGAAATTATTTTGTAATTAGATTTTATATATCATCTAGAGACTCTCACTTTGAGGAACACCAAGTAGACGGGAAAATTGTCCAATCAATCCCAAAACCTATTGTACGGATATCAATTCAGTACTAAACTTTCAAATTTGTCAATTCAGTCATAAACTTTTGTGCGACTTCAGCACTGTTTGCTTTTCGTCGTCCGTGTTGGCAACCACATAAGATTTTTAGAAGTTGCTCATTAACACAATTTTGGCGGAGGATAAATATGTCACACGTGTACAAGTTTGGGGTAAATTTATTACAATGACGCAAGTTTAGGATTTTTTGTGTCACGAAAAATAGTTTGGGGTAAATGTGTCATACAGCTATAAATTTAGAGTTTATAATGTCACAAAAGAAATTATGATAAATGTGTCATGGTAGGCATTGTTTGGAGCTTTTTTGTGACTTTTTACCTAATACTATTAAGACAAGATAAAGAGGTGGGCATTCGCCCTACCTCCCACTTATCTTCCTTGCCTATTGCCCGCGACCATGGGCACTTTTGTCCTCGTCAAAAAGCCACCCCCCCCCCCCCTCTCTCTCTCTCTCTCTCTCTCTCTCGTCACAAAGCAAGCACAAGACCTGTCTCATCGATGGAGCGTTCCGCTTGGCCCAAGAGCCGGGAAAAGTGCCAAAAAAGTCATAAACCTTTTGCATTAGTGTCAATTTAGTCCTAAATCTTTTTTTTATGCCAATTAAGTCCTAAACCTTTTAAATTGGTGCCAATTTAGTCCTAAACCTTTTATTTTTGTGCCAATTTAGTCATTCCGATCAATTTTGATCGGAATTTGCTGACGTGGACGCCTGCCGGCCGGCGGCCGATCACCGGCGCCGACGTGGACAACTTTAATAATATTTTAATATTTTTTTGAATTTTTATTTTTTTTTCCTTTTTTTCACTTTTTTTTTTTTGTCTCTCCCTCCTTCCTATGGCCGGTCGCCGGTCCGGCGACCGGCCAGAGGCCAGAGGCCGGTGAGCTCGACCTCGCCGGCCACTGGCGAGGGCGAGCCTCGCCTTGGTCGGGTGAGGCTCGACCTCGCCAGACCATGGCGAGGCTCGACCTCGCCAGATCCGGCGAGGTCGGGCCTCGCTTGACCATGGCGAGGCTCGAGCCCTCGCCGGAGGCCGCGGCGAGGGCGAGCCTCGCCATGATCTGGCGAAGTCGAGCCTCGCTCGACCAAGGCGAGGCTCGCCCTCGCCGGGCGAGGCAGCCCTCGCCGGGCGAGGCGGCCCTCGCCAGTGGCCGGTGAGGTCGAGCTCGCCGGCCTCACCGGACCAAGGCGAGGCTCGCCCTCGCCGGGCGAGGTCGCCCTCGCCAGTCGACCTCGCCTACCTCGCCCGACCAAGGCGAGGCTCGCCCTCGCCAGTGGCTTGGGAGGTCGAGCTCGCCGGCCTCTAGCCTCTGGCCGGTCGCCGGTAGGAAGGAGGGAGAGACAAAAAAAAAAGGAAAAAAAATTTCAAAAAAATATTAAAATATTATTAAAGTTGTCCACGTCGGCGCCGGTGGTTGGCCGGCAGGCGTCCACGTCGGCAAATTCCGGTCAAAATTGGCCGGAAGGACTAAATTGGCACAAAAACAAAAGATTTAGGACTGAATTAGTACCAATTTAAAAGGTTTAGGACTGAATTGGCACCAAAAAAAGGTTTAGGAGTGAATTGGCACCAAAAAAAGATTTAAGACTAAATTGGCACTAATGCAAAAGGTTTAGGACTTTTTTGGCACTTTTTCCCCCAAGAGCCTCTCCTCAAGCCGCAAGCACGCGATCAAGGAGCTCCTCCATGCCCAGAATCCCACAAAGAAGCTCAGAGATATCTTCGACGCTCACTCTCAAATTGGCAATAACACAGGGCAGCCCTTGTTTGCGGAAGATCTGATCTTCAACGCCCTCAGGTCGTTCAGCAACACCCTATCCCTATCAAGCAGCTCCGAGTCTTACGAGGTCTTACAGGTCCCGATCAACACCCGGTCCCGAGGTAATTAAGGGCCAAAATTCGTGTTCTTTTTTTTTTGCTGACTTTGTCTCAATAGTAATTTATCCATTTAAATGGAGTTTCACGTAATTCAAAAACAGATGAAGTTTCTTTTTGGAAGAACAATTGCATATACGGTGAGCATCGCATGTTTAAAAATGACAATGTGAAGATGTCTTAAAATTTAGGAAAAAGATAAGACATGAAAAGATTGTTTTGCTGTTCATATGATTTTCGGACACAACTTAATAGATCATAATTGGATTATAACGAGCTTGTCTAACTTGCAGAGAATAGAAGTTTTTTTTTTGTTATTTCATATATGTTATTGGGCAGAGGATGGAGGAGGTTATACATGGAGCTAAATTATATATGGACATTTCTAACATGAAATGGAAATTACTCTTTTTTGTGCAGAAAGACTTTAGATACATGGACAAGATTGGACTAGAATTTGATGGACGACGGGCACCAATGGAGGACATATGATCAGAAATCGATTCTCAACTTCAAGTTACGCAGGTACTTCACAAATGATACATCCATTTTCACTAATTTCTCATGTATATTGTATTTGTTTTGTTATTAGTAAAAGTATGCATATGGGTCTTAATAGTTCTAGCTTGAATCAGGAATTATTCATTTTTCTGCAGAAAGACTTCAGATACACGAACAAGACTGGACCATAATTTGATTGACGACGGGCACCAACGGAGGAAATATGGTCAGCAAGCGATTCTCAAATCGGATTACCCGAGGTACTTCACAAATGATATACCTTTTCCATAAATATCTCATATATTGAGAAAAATATTGTATAGAGTAGAGAGAAATCATTTCCTGCTTGATGTCTAAAACAAATATTATGGGGAATCTTTAGAATAAGTCACGTCTTTAAAATTAATAAGAAACACATCCATCTATTAACGTGGCTAAATTATATATGCTTCTCTCCCGATGAACAATTGAGCAAATAATGTGTTATTGCTTGTGATCGAAGCTGAGGTTGGGGGCACTTGCAGGAACAACTTCAGCTGTGCTCACAAGATCGACCAAGGATGTCAAGCCACCAAGCAGGTCCAAAAGATAAAGGATGACCCACCCGTTTACAGTACCATTTACCAAGGCCACCACACTTGCAAGAACCTCATCCTCAAATCCCCCCCGCTCATCTTGGACTCACCAAGCCCTGGGGACTCCTCCATCCTCGTCAGTTTCAACACCAGCCTGACTCCCAAGCAAGACCACAACAACAACAACCCCTTCTCTTCATCAACTTCCTCGTCGGTGAAACACGAGCCGAAGCTGCCCAGCGAGGATGATCTGATCCCCTGCAGTGGCTGTCACGACGGCAACAGCAGCAACAACAATAACCAGTCCACATCATCCGACTACTATGCCGTGTTCGAATCAGCCAGGGAGATCCGGGCCCCGTTGTTGGATCAAGATGACGACGACGATGACACGTAATTTATCTATTTAAAAGGAGTTTCGCGTAATTTATAAAAACATATGACGTTTCTTTCGGCAAGAACAATTATGTATAAGGCGAGCATCACAAGTTTGAAAATGACAGTGTGAAGATCTCCTAGAATTTAGGAAAAAGGGAAGACGATAAAAGATCGTCTCGCTGTTCATATGATATTGCACACGACTTGACAGATGATGATTGGAATAAGAGCTTGTCTAATTTGCAGATAATAGAAGTTATTGTTTTATTATTACATTTATTTTGTTATTGGGCAGAGGATGAAGAGGTTTTACATGGAGCTAAATTATATATATGATCTAAATAGTTCTAACAAGAAATGGGAATTAATCATTTTTGGGCAAAAAGGCTTTAGATACATGGACAAGACTCTACCATAATTTGATCCACGATGGGCACCAATGGAGGAAATATGATCAGAAATTGATTCTCAATTTTGAGTTACCTGAGTACTCCACGAATCATGTGTCCATTTTCATTAATTTTTCATATATATTTTTATTTGTTTGTTCTTAGTTAAGATATAAAAATGGATCTAGATAATTCTAACATGAAGTAGGAATTACTAATTTTTCTGCAGAAAAACTTCAAATACATGGACAAGACTGGACCATAATTTGATCGATCACCGGTACTCATGGAGGAAATACGGTCAGAAATTGACTCTCAACCGCAAATTCCCCAAGTACTTCACAAACGATATATGCATATTCATAAATATTTCATTTATATATATAGAGGAAAAAAGTAGAGAGAAATTATTGCTTGATGTCTAGAACAAATACCATGTGGGATCCGTACAATGACTCTTGGCTTCAAATTAATAAGAAACACATCCATTCTATCAACTCGGCTAAACTATTTATGCTTCTCTCATGATGAACAATTAAGAAAATAATTAGATGGTCGTTGACCCTTGACATGTTATAAATTAAGGAGGTCGTTCTTAAATTTGCTAAATTTTAGCTTCATCTTACCATGATACGAAAAAATTCGTAATCTAATCGAAATAAGCACACCGTTTCTTTTTATCATCTACCATCGTACTAAGTTTTTCTTTTCAGGTTATTTTTTGGATTTGAAGCTTCCTAACCCCCAAATCTACAATTAAGTGATCATTAATGTGTTAAAGCCGTGATTGGGGCCACTTGCAGGTGCTACTTCAGGTGCGCTTTCAGATTCGACCAGAAATGTCTAGCAACCAAACAAGTCCAAAAGATGCTGAATGACCCACCCGTTTACGAGGCCGTATACCGAGGCCACCACACTTGCGGAAACCCCATCCTCGAATCGACCCCAATCATCCTGGATTCACCGAGCCCTAGGGACTCCTCAATCCTCTTCAGTTTCCACGCTAGCCTCATTGCCAAACAAGACAACAACCACCACCCTATCTCTTCTCCTTCAACTTTCTCATAAGTGAATCAGGAGCAAAAGTTGCCCAGTTAGTGAGGATGATGTGAACCCCCACGGCCACAGCCATGACAGACGATAGCAACAACAACAATCAATCCGCATCATCCGATTATTACGCTGTATTCAAATCCGCGGGGGAGATCTAGCCCTGTCGTCAGATCAAGGGGATGTGATGTTTAGCGTCTCATAGCTTTGATATGATTGTGGGGTCCGAGTTTGATGATCTGTTGGATTATGAACTTCAATGTTGATTTTGGTGTAGGTTTCTTCATTATTGTGCGACGTGTTTGCTAGATGAGTTTCCTTAAAACTATTTATTCTCTGCGGCGGTTTGTTTAGGAGAAAAAGGAGCCATGTAATAGTTAGTGTAACAATATTACGTTGTTGAAAAATATTTTGTAATTACGGGATTTTATATATCGTAAAGAGATTCCCTCACTTTGAGGAACATTATTTGACCTATCGTACGGATATCAATTTATTACTAAATTTTATAATTTATCAATTTAGTCCTGAATTTTTGTGTGACGTCAACACTATTTGCTTTTTCGTCTTCCGTGTTGGTAGCCACATAAGATTTTTAGAAGGTGTTTGTTAACACAATTTTGACGGAGGATAAATGTGTCCCACGTGTACAAATATGTAGTAAATTTATCGCAACGACATAAGTTTATGGTTTTTGGTGTCACTGAAAATAGTTTGGGGTAAATGTCTTATATCATTATAAATTTGGAATTTATGATGTTATAAAAAAAATTAGAATAAATGTGTCATGACGGGTATAATTTGAAATTTTTTTGTGACTTTTTTTCCTAAGACTGATAAGACAAGATATTTATTGTTTACTAAAAAAGAATTTGCTATGCATCATGATATCCCCAATTCCCTAAAAAAACCCGAACTTTAGCCTTTGTCCCAATTATATCCCAAACTTTTTTTTGTCTCATAAAAAACCCCAAACTTTTACTTTTGTCCCAAATTTACCCCGTTAACTTTTCGTCCAATTTTTTAATATTATTTTTTTGTCTAATTTTTTTTTCTTTTCTTTTTCCTTTCCTTTTTTTTTTGTTTCACCTTCAACCTCTGGCCGGTCGCCGGTCCGGCGATCGGCCAGAGGCGGGGGCCGGCGAGGCTCGGCCCGCCCGCCGCCTGGCGAGGCTCGGCCCCGCCCAAGCAACGGCGAGGTCGGCCGAGGCCGAACCTCATCGTTCTTCGGGCGAGGCCGAGCCTCGCCCGCCGGCGTGGCCGAGCCCTCGCCAGATCGGGCGAGGCTCGGCCCGCCGATCGGGTGAGGTCGGCCTCGCCCAAGAACGGCCAGGTCGGCCGAGGCCGAACCTCGCCGTTCTTGCGGGCGAGGCCGACCTCGCCAGGTTGCCGGCGGGCCCGAGCCTCGCCGGATCCGGCGAGGGCTCGGGCTCGGCTCGCCAGATCCGGCGAGGGCTCGGGCTCGGCCTCGCCAAAGAACGACGAGGTTCAGGCTGAACCTCGCCGTTGCTGGGCGAGGCCGATCTCACCAGTTGTCGGCGGGGCCGAGCCTCGCCGGCGGCCGGCGGGGCCGACCTCGCCGGCCAGAGGTTAAAGGTGAAATAAAAAAAAAAGAAAAGGAAAGGAAAAAGAAAAAAATTCGAAAAAATAAAAAATAATATTAAAAAATTGGACGAAAAGTTAACGGGGTAGATTTGGGACAAAAGTAAAAGTTTGGGATTTTTTATGAGATAAAAAAAAATGTAGGATATAATCGAGATAAAAGTTAAAGTTTGCGTCTTTTTAGGGAATTGGGTCTGATATCGCCTGCAATTGACCGTGTGGGGATTGACTAGATCCCACAAGACGTGGAACTTTCGCACCACCTCCCAGTCATCTTCCTTGCCTCTTGCAGAGATGACCATGAACACTTTTGTCCTCTCTCTCTCTGTCTCCACTTTCCTCCCTCATCACAGAGCAAAGCACAAGACCTGTCTCGTCGATGGAGCGTTTTGCCTGGCCTGAGTACCTCTCCTCAAGCCGCAAGCACGCGATCCAGGAGCTCCTCCATGGCCAGAACCCCACGAAGAAGCTCAGACATCTCTTGGACGCTCACTCTCAAACTGGCAATGACACGGGGCAGCCCTTGTTTGCGGAAGATCTGATCGTCAACGCCCTCAGGTCGTTCAGCAACACCCTATCCCTATCAAGCAGCTCCGAGTCTTACGAGGTCTTGCAGGTCCCGACCAACGCCTGTGTCAGGTCCGAGGTCTCCGAGGGAAGTGAGAGCATCAACACCCCGGTCCCGAGGTAATTAAGGGCCAAAATTCGTGTTTTTTTTTTTTGCTGACTTTGTCTCAATAGTAATTTATCTATTTAAGTGGAGTTTTGCGTAATTCAAAAATATATGAAGTTTCTTTTTGGGAAGAACAATTACATGTAAGGTGAGCATCACAGGTTTGAAAATGACAGTGTGAAGATCTTTCGGAATTTAGGAAAAAGTAAAGACGTGAAAAGATTGTTTGGCTGTTCATATGATTTTGGGACACCACTTGGACAGTTCATGATTGGATTATAACGAGCTTGTCTAACTTGCAGAGAATAAAAGTTTTTTTTTTTTGTTATTTCATTTATGTTATTGGGCAGAGGATGGAAGAGGTTATACATGGAGCTAAATTATATATGGACATTTCTAACATGAAATGGAAATTACTCATTTTTACGCAGAAAGACTTTAGATACATGGACAAGACTGGACCAGAATTTGATGGACGATGGGCAACAATGGAGGACATGTGATCAGAAATTGATTCTCAACTCCAAGTTACCCCCAGGTACTTCACAAATAATATATCCATTTTCACTAATTTCTCATAAATATTGGATTTGTTTTGTTCTTAGTTACAAGGGAATCTTACTTGTGCTGCAGGGCATCTAGCTGGAAAGAATTGCCGGAATGAGCTATCAGAAACAACAGTTAGTAAAGGGCCTGTTGATCAGGCTACATTACACCATTCACCTGTGGAGCCTGTAAGGCTTACTAGACTGTGCTCTTGTATTGTTAAAGCTGTATTCTTAATGTCATTTTTCCCTCTGGACCTTCTAGTCAGTGAGTGCAACTTAATTGATTTTGTTGTCTTTACATCTGTAGTTTCTTAGAGGTGGTGGGATAGGTTAATTAGTCAGTCAGTTGCAAGATAACCTGTAGTCAGGATTGGCAGATCTCAAATATTGATAGCTGTTGACTTGCTTCCATGTCAGGTTCTAATTCTTGAGGACCCAGAGATTATTCTCATATTTTAGCTTATCATCTGCTCTGAGAGAGTGAGAGTGAGACCCTTTCGTTGTAACCTTTGGAGTATTATGTATGAGTAAGTCTTTAGTCACCATGGGCTATGTACGAAGTTCTTTGTACACGAGACTTTTGTGCCTTTTCCAATGCCTGTTTGATGGTTTCATAATTTTCTGAAAAACCAGAGTGAATACGTTTTCATGTCTGGATTCTTTCATTGGTGAGGATCTTTATGCAGCCTTGGTTGGTTTGAGAGCGAACTGTTGGCCAAGTGATTTTCTTTTCCATTGCTCGGAGGATTCAAGAGCCGTAGTTTCTTATATGTTGTCTTCTACTATGATTTTCAATGGAAATGGCCTTTATTGTGTCTGTTATTTCAGAATTTTGATGTTAGTTTGATTGCATCTGAAAGGGTGCTACTTTTGAAAGTTTTGTTGTTTTTCCCTGAATGGCTGCCAATGCTTTTTGTAATCTTTTATCATTTGTCATGTCTACCTCCTACTTCGTATGAACTTTGAGAAGAGACTTCGGGGAAAAGATGATACCTTGGGTTCAAGCTCTGCAAAGACTCCCAAACCCCCATTGATGCTGTTGGATGCCATCTCAAAAGAAGTTGCTGCCAAGGATATGAACACAATCAATGCTAATTATGAACTTTACAGGGTGCGTCATCTTTGATTAATCACTCTTATAATCATCTGTTTACGATAACTTTTTCGTCAAAGTCTAATCTTCCTCCTCAATATTTATCAGACCAAGAGGATCTCTCGAGATGACTTCATCAAGAGGTTGAGATCAATAGTTGGTGATGAATTGCTGTGGTCCATCATAAGGAGTCTTGAGGGCAAGGTATTAATATTGTTGTCAAACTTGCAATTCATTATTTCTAGGCTGTTAAGTTTTTGCATGTCGACTATAACTTAGTTATCTACTCTGGATTCTAATGGTTTTGCTCCAGTGATTTGTAAGAAATCAGATGGTAAATGGCCTGACTAGTGCTCGTCAGAGCGTACAGGATTGTTGTATCAATAGTTATTCCTGGAAGAGGTCGATTTCTATCTTCTGGAATAGGTGAAAGTGTTCGATATAAGACTGGCGAAGAATTGTGAAAATCAAGATGGGCAGAACGATATGCAAACTGAAATTTTTCTTTTTGCACCATCGATGCTGGCTATTCCTCTCAAAAGAACAGACATGGGGTCTTTGTGATGATATATCCAGATTTAAGACGGAGGGATAGTTTATCCTGCCATCAATATATTCTCTGATATTCTTGTGAAAGCGCTTAACAGCTGTTACTGCATTTTGCAGCTGACTCTTGGATCTCGTCACAATTCAAAGGTGCCTAAGCCGGAGCAAGAGGTTTGAATCTTCTTATTTAATTATGCAATGCTGTTGTCCTTAGTGTCGTGGGGATTGCGACTGCATTTAGATCTTGGCTTCTTTTTCCTGGGTGTTTGAAAGTATCTCTTTTTGGATCCATATGTATATATTCGTAATTCTATGGAATTCTTGCTTGTTGCTGCTCAGCCTAGTAAAGAACTACACTGTTGTTAGTAATTTTTCATGTTGGAAAAGAAACAATCGGCATATTATTTACCTGATATCTTCTCAATGGGGTCAATGACATTTTATGAGAAAGGTAACTTTCAACACTGTTCTCCAAGTCTATAATTACAATTATTTCTCCATGCAGTCCACCCTATAAAGTGACGACTTTCCAATCTCCCATTAGGTTGGTAATGGATCATATTCAATAAGTGATGAGAAGTATCGCTTAATAAATTAATTTTTGTAAAAATGGTGCTAATTGCGTTCACCCCCTTTTTTGTTGCTACAAACACCCCTATTGTTGTTTACTGACCAAAATGCCCTTCATCCGTAAATTCAGTCAATCGTCAACCGTTTACCTTTTCTTTTCTCCGTCGTCTCCTCTCTGAATCACTGTAGCTGCACTTTTCCATTCGATTGGTTTTCATGAAATTTTCCAATTTTTGTATTGATTGCTCACAGCAACACTCAACAGTTAGAGAATTTCCTCTTGTGTCATGCATTCAGTGAAGATTTCATTGAGGGATTTTATTCGATTCCACTTTGAGTTCATCGATATTTCCTAATCTTGGGCAATGCCGGGCACTTGTTGGTGCTTTGCCTTTGATTTACTAATTCTGAAGAATGTCTTGTGATGGTTCTGATGATCAAATTGAGAGAACCTAAAAAAAGTTTACAGAAGGGAAAAAGAAAAGCAAAAAACTACTCATGGTGGTGGAGGTCATCATGTTTGTTGGCCGTGATTATATACGGTTGCTGACAAGTTTACTCCAATATCGGAATGCACTCTTAAAGCGTTGGAGAGAAATTTCTCGAGCAGGAGAAAATGCTTGACAAACCTTTTTTTCTGTTTTTTCTATTGTTACTGAGCATCTCAAAATCAGACAGGATTCTACCAAAAGGAAAATTACCAAAAAAGTCATAAACCTATTGTACGGATGCCAATTCAGTTTTAAATATTTTAATTTAGCCAATTTAGTCCAAAGTAATTTGACAATTTGCCAATTTTGGCTGGAAATGGCTAAGGTAAACGCCAATTGTTTTACATATCACGATCGGTTTTACATATCACAATCGGTGCTCATGTTGACAATTTTTGCAAAATTTTTTAAAATTACATTTTTTTTATATTTTTCTTTGTTTTTTCCCTTCTTCCTTCGGTCACTGGGCATCAACGGTGGTTGGCAACGGTTGAGCCTCACTGAATATGGCAAGGGCGAGCCTCACTTGAGACCAGGCGGGCCTGGCGAGGTCAGCTCACTGGGATACGGCGAGGTTGGCCCTTGCTTGTGGCCAATCACCGGCCATCCTTGAGGCTTGGCGACCAACGGAGGAAGAAGGAAAAAGAAAATAAAAATAAAAATAAAAAAATTGAAAATTGCAAAAATTGTTCACATCGGTTCCAATTGATGTCCATGTCAGCAATTTTGAATTAAATTGGCAGTATCAAAAAGCTTACGACTTGATTGACTAAATTAAAATATTATGATTGAATTGGTATATGTACAAAATGTTATGGACTTTTTTGATAATTTTTCTCTCCATCAAATTTGAGCTGCCCTTTATGACCAAAAAAAAAGAATTTGAGCTGCTCTTGAACCGGGTCATGTGGTCCACGTGTTTGGATTTGGTAGAGGGAGTTTATTTCTTGGGTCCAGTTCTATCCTATTTCTATTTTTTATTTTATTTTACAAGTCACTGTGTGTCTTATGTGCTGTGCTCACATTTTGAAACTCTGCTCCCTTACTCACGCGTCCTCAACCCCAGCCGCAGACTCCCAAATCCCCATGGTTGCCGTTTCCATTATTGTTGGATGCCATCTCAAAAGAAGTTGCTGCCGAGGATATGAACACAATCAATGCTAATTATGAACTTTTCAGGGTGCGTCATCTTTGATTAATCACTCTTATAATCATCTGTTTACTATAACTTTTTCGTCAAAGTCTAATCTTCCTCCTCAATATTTATCAGACCAAGAGGATCTCTCGAGATGACTTCATCAAGAGGTTGAGATCAATAGCTGGTGATGAATTGCTGAGGTCCATCATAAGGAGTCTTGAGGGCAAGGTATTAATATTGTTGTCAAACTTGCAATTCATTATTTCTAGGCTGTTAAGTTTTTGCATGTCGACTATAACTTAGTTATCTACTCTGGATTCTAATGGTTTTGCTCCGAGGATTAGTAAGAAATCAGATGGTAAATGGCCTGACTAGTGCTCGTCAGAGCGTACAGGATTGTTGTATCAATAGTTATTCCTGGAAGAGGTCGATTTCTATCTTCTGGAATAGGTGAAAGTGTTCGATATAAGACTGGCGAAGAATTGTGACAATCAAGATGGGCAGAACGATATGCAAACTGAAATTTTTCTTTTTGCACCATCGATGCTGGCTATTCCTCTCAAAAGAACAGACATGGGGTCTTTGTGATGATATATCCAGATTTAAGAAGGAGGGATAGTTTATCCTGCCATCAATATATATTCTCTGATATTCTTGTGAAAGCGCTTCACAGTTGTTACTGCATTTTGCAGCTGACTCTTGGATCTCGTCACAATTCAAAGGTGCCTAAGCCGGAGCAAGAGGTTTGAATCTTCTTATTTAATTATGCAATGCTGTTGTCCTTAGTGTCGTGGGGATTGTGACTGCATTGATATGTTGGTTTCTTTTTCCTGGGTGTTTGAAAGTATCTCTTTTTGGATCCTTATGTATATATTCGTAATTCTATGGAATTCTTGCTGGTTGCTGCTCAGCCTAGCAAAGAACTACACTGTTGTTAGTAATTTTTCATGTTGGAAAAGAAACAATCGGCATATTATTTACCTGATATCTTCTCAATGGGGTGAATGACATTTTATGAGAAAGGTAACTTTCAACACTGTTCTCCAAGTCCATAATTACAATTATTTCTCCATGCAGTCCACCCTATAAAGTGACGACTTTCCAATCTCCCATTAGGTTGGTAATGGATCATATTCAATAAGTGATGAGAAGTATCGCTTAATAAATTAATTTTTGTAAAAATGGGGCTAATTGCGTTCACCCCCCTTTTTTGTTGCTACAAACACCCGTATTGTTGTTTACTGACCAAAATGCCCTTCATCTGTAAATTCAGTCGATCGTCAACCGTTTACCTTTTCTTTTCTCCGTCGTCTCCTCTCTGAATCACTGTAGCTGCACTTTTCCATTCGATTGGTTTTCATGAAATTTTCCAATTTTTGGATTGATTGCTCACAGCAACACTCAACAGTTAGAGAATTTCCTCTTGTGTCATGCATTCAGTGAAGATTTCATTGAGGGATTTTATTCGATTCCACTTTGAGTTCATCGATATTTCCTAATCTTGGGCAATGCCGGGCACTTGTTGGTGCTTTGCCTTTGATTTACTAATTCTGAAGAATGTCTTGTGATGGTTCTGATGATCAAATTGAGAGAACCTAAAAAAAGTTTACAGAAGGGAAAAAGAAAAGCAAAAAACTACTCATGGTGGTGGAGGTCATCATGTTTGTTGGCCGTGATTATATAAGGTTGCTGACAAGTTTACTCCAATATCGGAATGCACTCATAAAGCGTTGGAGAGAAATTTCTCGAGCAGGAGAAATGCTTGACAAGCCTTTTTTTTTTCTGTTTTTTCTATTGTTACTGAGCATCTCAAAATCAGACAGGAGTCTACCAAAAGGAAAATTACCAAAAAAGTCATAAACCTATTGCACGTATGCCAATTCAGTTTTAAATATTGTAATTTAGCCAATTTAGTCCAAAGTAATTTGACAATTTGCCAATTTTGGTTGGAAATGGCTGAGGTAAACGCCAGTTGTTTTACATGTCACGATCGGTGCTGATGTTGACAATTTTTGCAAATTTTTTTAAAATTACTTTTTTTTTTTTCCCTTCTTCCTTCGGTCATCGGGCCTCAGTGGTGGCTGGCGACGGTTGAGCCTCACTGAATCTGGCAAGGGCTAGCCTCACTTGAGACCTAGTGTACCAGGCGAGGTCAGCTCGTTAGGATACGACGAGGTTGGCCCTCGCTTGTGGCCAATCACCGGCCATCCTTGAGGCTTGGCGACCGACGGAGAAAGAAGGAAAAAGAAAATAAAAATAAAAATAAAAAAATTGAAAATTGCAAAAATTGATCACATCGGTTCCAACCGGTGTCCACGTCAGTAATTTTGAATTAAAATTGGCAGTGTCAAAAGGCTTAGGACTTAATTGACCAAATTAAAATATTAGGATTGAATTGGTATATGTACAATATGTTATGGACTTTTTTGATAATTTTTCTCTCTATCAAATTTGAGCTGTCCTTTATGACAAAAAAAAAAGAATTGAGCTGCTCTTGAATCGGGTCATGTGGTCCACGTGTTTGGATTTGGTAGAGGGAGTTTATTTCTTGGGTCCGGTTCTATCCTATTTCTATTTTTATTTTTATTTTACAAGTCACCGTGTGTGTTATGTGCTGTGCTCACATTTTGAAACTCTGCTCCCTTACTCACGCGTCCTCTACCCGAGCCCCCTAAAAGGTGGGGAATTGAACTTGGTAGAGAGTTTGCATCGTGAGAGTTTGCAAGTGAGGCTGTCTGTGGTCGGGGCGGCGATGCCATGTTGCTCTAAGTGCAACGTCAACGTCGTGAAGCTACAATTTCTTTGTATTGTACCAAAAATCTCTTTCCACTAGTTAATAATTTAGTTGAGTCGACGCTACGTCTCCGTCTTTGTCTTCCGGAGAGGGGAGCCTCGGCTCATAAGTAAAGAAGTCCTCCAAGTCGAAACTCCAAAGCCACCAAAGCCGCTATAAATTAACCCAAGAACCTCTCACCGCAAGCGTCAAGCCGTAGAGCACTACACTTTTGACACTAGAGAGTACCTCATAGCTTATCATATCCGAAGGCATATTGATATTAATCAGAATCAATATGGGCGGGAGCGAGAGCAAAGACAGAGAGGAAAAGGGTGATACCAAGGGAGTCAAGTGGCACTACCGTGGCCACAGGAGTGATCGCCGGTTTGGCGACCTGTGCTGTGGGTGCTGGCCAGTCTGGTGGGCGACTCGTCCAAGTCCAGTGGAAGGAAGATCATGAAAGTTGTTAAAATATGTTTCGAGTTTGAGCCCGTAAATGAAACCCGACTCAAGATAAATTGGATATTTTGTGGATGTCCGAAATTGACCAAAGCAAAATATGGAACTTCCTTTTGGCAAGTTGAAGTCGACGTAGAAAGAATATATATATAAAACAACATTTCAAACATATTGTTTTCTTTTATATCAGTCATTATTCACAATGGTTTAGTTGTGTCACCAACAAAAGTCAATCTTTTCCAAACTAGAATAAGATTCTTAGGCCATCATATACATCTTGGAACCACTATCCCAATAAAAAGATCCATACTTTTTGCTGATAAATTCCCTGATGAAATCAAAGACAAAACACAACTATAAAGCTTCTTAGGAAGCCTAAATTATATTCTTGACTTCTTTCCCAAAATAAATATCCGATGTAAACCTTTACATGATAGATTAAAAAAGAATCCCCCACGTTGGACATCCATCCATACTGAAACAGTCAGACAAATAAAAACGCACACTAAAGAAATTCCTTGTATTCATTTAGCTGACCCATTTACATTCAAAATTGTTGAAACAGATGCTTCTAAAATAGGATACGGAGGAATTCTCAAATAAGTCAAGACTAATAAAGAACAAGTTATTCAGTTTATTTCCAAACACTGGAATCAAACCCAACAAAATTATTCTACTATTAAAAAAGAGATTTTAGCCATTGTACTTTCCATATCAAAATTCCAAGGAGATTTGTTGAATAAAAAATTCCTCTTGCGTATTGATTGCAAATCAGCAAAAGATGTTTTACGAAAAGATGTTTTAAATATAGCATCAAAACAAATCTTTGCTAGGTGGCAAGCCATACTTTCCATATTTGATTTTGATATAGAATTTATAAATGATTCTTCAAATTCATTACCTGATTTTCTTACAAGAGAATTTTTATAGGGGATACAATGCAACCAAAAAACCCCTCCAAAGAGGGAAAAGGCAAAGCCAAAGCTGAAAACCCCAAATACTTAACTCCCATAAAATCATGGTTAGATACAGCTATCTCTGAATCTCCAAAATCCATAAAACCAACTACCATATCCACCCTTGCTAGAATGGCCAAAACACTTCCTAATGACAGTCCCGAGAAAGAAGATATCATGTTCTTACTCAAGAACATGAAGCCAAGACAATCACAACCATCACCATTACCCATACAGGTATATACAGGGACTGCCACATCCTTCCTGGCTCCACAAAAGCCAAAAGGATTTCAAACCATAAAAAAATGTTTCAAGTGAGGTGGTTATTGTGCCACAGGCAACCCTCAAAAATCAAAATTTTTCCCAAAAAACAAATTTCAAAATATAATCATAGTAGAAGATGATTTCTACCATGAAGATCCAATAAATTTTGCAAAAAATATATTTCCTAAGAACTGGCTTTTCAAGCCCCACCATACAAACAAATCCCTTGCTTACTATGAACAGGTATTAGTTGACACAAAATCAGCCAGATTCACCCATTTCCAAAACGATTCAGACGAAATCCTGTATTCCACCATTGCCATAAACATGATAATACACTATTCTGAATGGGAAACAACACCTCATTCCCATTAAAAGTTCAAACCAGAAAACCATTCTACCACATTTGCTCCTTCATATATTTATTGGGACTACCAACAAGCTTGGTGGAACACCTTCTTTAGACAAAATAAAGCCTACAAACACACTTGGGTTGACTTTTTCTCTTAAATATTCCAATCCCATAAACTTCCAAATTGGTTCAACACTTGGTGGAGCAATTTTGGCCCCATAGAAGAAATCATCCATCCAAGAATCAAACCAGGATATACTCTGTTTAAAGAAAAATTTAAATCATCCATATACGAATCCCGATTCCCAATTCTCATGCATTACTTTATAAACTTCAAAGTCTCTTGCGTAATAGCATGGGAATTCGATTATAATGGATCACCAAAAAACCCTCATATACCAATTCTAATCCGGAAATACAAAACAAAATGGTGGGATGGATTCAAATTTGTACATCCCACCACAGAACAGTCAATCCGCAATTGGCTAATAAATAGGACCCCTATCAAAATACAGAGCCCATCCAATTCGTCCTTCTTACAACAAAAGTCTAAGTATACAGCAGCAATGGTAGTTGTACAAGACCAAACACAATTTGTTGCCATGCTAAAGCAGCAATGGTAGCAGTACAAGACCAAATTTACCCTCCATTAGTTTTCATTAAATTTTACTGTCAAATTGCTAAGTTTAATGACACGTGGTAGTTGACAGGTGTACTAGTTTGGGGTTTTACCCTTCTGTTTGTCACAAGTTTACCAATTTGTGATTTTTCGTGATATTAATTCAATTTAACGGACACTAACGGAGGGTAAATTTGTTATAAATGTACCAGTTTGAGGTTTTTAGTGATCAAAAAATTATTTTGGAATAAAATTGTCACTGGTGTACTAGTTTGGCGTTTTTGGTGATCAAAAAATTAGTTCGGAGTAAAATTGTCATAAGTATACCAGTTTGGAATTTTTTATGGTCAAAAAAATAGTTCATGGTAAATTTGTCACAGGTGTACCAGTTTGGGGTTTTTCGTGATATTAACCCTAAATGATACATCTGTTTTCATTAATTTTTCATATATATTTTATTTGTTTTGTTATAAGTTAAGATATACACATGGATCTTAATAATTTTAACATGAATTGGGAATTACTCATTTTTCCACATAAAGACTTTAGATGTATGGACAGTTGAGACGTCTGATTTGATCCACGACGGGTATCTATGGAGGAAATATGGTTAGAGACCGATTCTCGACTCCAAATTCCCCAGGTACTTCATAAATGACAGACCTTTTCATAAATATCTCATAAGTATGCATATATTGGGAAAATACGTATAAAGGAGAGAGAAATCAATTCTTGCTTGATGTCTCAAACAAATATTATGTGGGCATCTTTACTATAAGTCATGTCTTCAAAATTAATAAGAAAAATATCCATCTATCAACACGGCTAAATTATTTATGCTTCTCTCATGATGAACAATTAAGCAAATAATGTGTTATTGCTTGTGATTAAAGCTGTGTTTGGGGAGCACTTGCAGGAAGTACTACAGGTGCGTTCACCAGATCGATCAGGAATGTCAAGCAACCAAGCTGGTCCAAAGGACATCGCATGACCCACGCCTTTTCCTGATCAGATGCTGAGGCCGCCACACTTGCAAGATCATCCTCAAATCCCCCCCACTCATCCTGGACTCACCAAGCCCTAGGGACGACTCCACCCCCTTAAGTTTCAACACTAGCCTCATTGCCGAACAAGACAACGACGACAACAACAACCCCATCTTTTTCGACTTTCTATCAGTGAATGAGGAGCAAAAGTTGCCCAGTGAGGATGATCTGAACCCCCGCAGCCACAGCCACGACGACAATGGCAACAACAACAATCAATCCGCATGAACCGATTACTACGCCATACTCGAATCTGCTGGGGAGATCTAAGCCCTGTCGTCAGATCAAGGGATGTGATGTTTAGTGTTTAGGGTCTCAACAGTGCTGATATGATTGTGGGGTTTGAGTTTGATGATCTGTCGGATTATGAACTTCAATGTTGATTTTGGTGTAGGTTTCTTCGTTAATGTGAGAGGTGTTTGCTAGATGAGTTTCCCTGAAACTATTTAATCCTCTGCCGCGATTTGTTTAGGAGAAAAAGGAAACATATAATAGCTAGTGTAACAATATTACGTTGTCGAAAATTATTTTGTAATTACGGGATTTTATATATCATCTAGAGACTCTCTCACTTTGAGGAACACCAAATATACGGGAAAATTGTCCAATCAATCCCAAAACCTATTGTGCAGATATGAATTCTACACTTTCAAATTTGTCAATTTAGTCATGAACTTTTGTGTGACTTCAGCACTGTTTGCTTTTCGTCGTCTGTGTTGGCAACCACATAAGATTTTTAGAAGTTGCTCATTAACACAATTTTTGCAGAGGATAAATATGTGACACGTGTATAAGTTTGGGGTAAATTTATCACAACGATACAAGTTTAGGATTTTTGGTGTCAGGGAAAATAGTTTAGGGTAAATATGTTATACAGTTACAAATTTAGAGTTTATAATGTCACAAAAGAAATCATGATAAATGTATCATAGTGGGTATTGTTTGGAGGTTTTTTGTGACTTTTTACCTAATACTAATAAGACAAGATAAAGAGGTGGGCATTCGCCCGACCTCCCACTTATCTTCCTTGCCTATAGCCCGCGACCATGGGCACTTTTGTCCTCGTCAAAAAGCCACACAACCCCCCCTCGTCTCTCTCTCTCTCGTCACAAAGCAAGCACAAGACCTGTCTCATCGATGGAGCGTTCCGCTTGGCCCAAGAACCTCTCCTCAAGCCGCAAGCACGCGATCAGGGAGCTCCTCCATGCCCAGAATCCCACAAAGATGCTCAGAGATCTCTTCGACGTTCACTCTCAAACTGGCAATAACACAGGGCAGCCCTTGTTTTCGGAAGATCTGATCGTCAACACCCTCAGGTCATTCAGCAACACCCAATCCCTATCAAGCAGCTCCGAGTCTTACGAGGTCTTACAGGTCCCGATCAACACCCGGTCCCAAAGTAATTAAGGGCCAAAATTCGTGTTCTTTTTTTTTTTTTCCTGACTTTGTCTCAATAGTAATTTGTCCATTTAAATGGAGTTTCGCGTAATTCAAAAACATATGAAGTTTCTTTTTGGAAGAACAATTGCATATAAGGTGAGCATCCCATGTTTAAAAATGACAGTGTGAAGATCTCTTAAAATTTAGGAAAAAGAGAAGACATGAAAAGATTGTTTTGCTGTTCATATGATTTTCGGACACAACCTAACAGATCATAATTGGATTATAACGAGCTTGTCTAACTTGCAGAGAATACAACTTTTTTTTTTTGTTATTTCACTTATGTTATTGGGCAGAGGATGGAAGATTTTATACATGGAGCTAAATTATATATGGACATTTCTAACATGAAATGGAAATTACTCATTTTTGCCCAGAAAGACTTTAGATACATGGACAAGACTGGACCGGAATTTGATGGACGACGGGCACCAATGGAGGACATATGATCAGAAATTGATTCTCAACTTCAAGTTACGCAGGTACTTCACAAATGATATATCCATTTTCACTAATTTCTCATATATATTGTATTTGTTTTGTTATTGGTTAAATTATGCATATGGGTCTTAATAGTTCTAGCTTGAATTGGGAATTATTCATTTTTCTGTAGAAAGACTTCAGATACATGAACAGGACTGGATCATAATTTGATCGACGATGGGCATCAATGGAGGAAATATGGTCAGCAAGCGATTCTCAACTCGGATTACCCGAGGTACTTCCCAAATGATATACCTTTTCCATAAATATCTTATATATATATATATGCATATATTGAGAAAAATGTTGTATAGAGTAGAGAGAAATCATTTCCTGCTTGATGTCTAAAACAAATATTATGGGGAATCTTTAGAATAAGTCACGTCTTTAAAATTAATAAGAAACACATCCATCTATCAACGTGGCTAAATTATATATGCTTCTCTCATGATGAACAATTGAGCAAATAATCTGTTATTGCTTGTGATCGAAGCTGAGGTTGGGGGTACTTGCAGGAACAACTTCAGCTGTGCTCACAAGATCGACCAAGGATGTCAAGCCACCAAGCAGGTCCAAAAGATAAAGGATGACCCACCCGTTTACAGTACCATTTACCAAGGCCACCACACTTGCAAGAACCTCATCCTCAAATCCCCCCCGCTCATCTTGGACTCACCAAGCCCTGGGGACTCCTCCATCCTCGTCAGTTTCAACACCAGCCTCACTCCCAAGCAAGACCACAACAACAACAACCCCTTCTCTTCATCAACTTCCTCGTCGGTGAAACACGAGCCGAAGCTGCCCAGCGAGGATGATCTGATCCCCTGCAGCGGCTGTCACGACGGCAACAGCAGCAACAACAATAACCAGCCCACATCATCCGACTACTATGCCGTGTTCGAATCAGCCAGGGAGATCTGGGCCCCGTTGTTGGATCAAGGTGACGACGACAACGACTACAAGTAATTTATCTATTTAAATGGAGTTTCGCGTAATTTAAAAAACATATGACGTTTCTTTTCGGCAAGAACAATTATATATAAGGCGAGCATCACATGTTTGAAAATGACAGCGTGAAGATCTCATAGAATTTAGGAAAATGGGAAGTCAAGAAAAGATCGTCTCGCTGTTCATATGATATTGCACACGACTGGACAGATGATGATTGGAATAGGAGCTTGTCTAATTTGCAGAGAATAGAAGTTATTGTTTTATTATTTCATTTATTTTGTTATTGGGAAGAGGATGAAGAGGTTTTACATGGAGCTAAATTATATATATGATCTAAATAGTTCTAACAAGAAATGGGAATTACTCATTTTTGTGCAAAAAGGTTTAAGATACATGGACAAGACTGTAACATAATTTGACCCACGATGGGCACCAATAGAGGAAATATGATCAGAAATTGATTCTCAACTTTGAGTTACCTGAGCACTCCACGAATGATATGTCCATTTTCATTAATTTTTCATATATATTTTTATTTGTTTGTTCTTAGTTAAGATATAAAAATGGATCTAAATAATTCTAACATGAAGTGGGAATTACTCATTTTTCCGCAGAAAAACTTCAGATACATGGACAAGACTAGACCATAATTTGATCGACGACGGGTACTCATGGAGGAAATATGGTCAGAAATTGACTCTCAACCGCAAATTCCCTTGGTACTTCACAAACAATATATGCATATTCATAAATATTTCTTTTATATATATAGAGGAAAAAAGTAGAGAGAAATTATTGCTTGATGTCTAGAACAAATATCATGTGGGATCCGTACAATGACTCTTGGCTTCAAATTAATAAGAAACACATCCATTCTATCAACTCGGCTAAACTATTTATGCTTCTCTCATGATGAACAATTAAGAAATTAATTAGATGATCGTTGACCGTTGAAATGTTATAAATTAAGGAGGTCGTTCTTAAATTTGCTAAATTTTAGCTTCATCTTACCATGATACGAAAAAATTCGTAATCTAATCGAAACAAGCACACTGTTTCTTTTTATCATCTACCATCGTATGTAAGTTTTTCTTTTCAGGTTATTTTTTGGATTTGAAGCTTCCTAACCCCCAAATCTACAATTAAGTTATCATTAATGTGTTAAAGCCGTGATTGGGGCCACTTGCAGGTGCTACTTCAGGTGCGCTTTCAGATTCGACCAGAAATGTCTAGCAATCAAACAAGTCCAAAAGATGCTGAATGACCCACCCGTTTACGAGACCATATACCGAGGCCACCACACTTGCGGAAACCCCATCCTCGAATCGACCCCAATCATCCTGGATTCACCAAGCCCTAGGGACTCCTCAATCCTCTTCAGTTTCAACACTAGCCTCATTGCCAAACAAGACAACAACCACCACCCTATCTCTTCTCCTTCAACTTTCTCATAAGTGAATCAGGAGCAAAAGTTGCCCAGTTAGTGAGGATGATGTGAACCCCCACGGCCACAGCCAAGACAGACAATAGCAACAACAGCAATCAATCCGCATCATCCGATTGTTACGCTGTATTCAAAGCGGCGGGGGAGATCTAAGCCCTGTCGTCAGATCAAGGGGATGTGATGTTTAGCGTCTCATAGCTTCGATATGATTGTGGGGTCTGAGTTTGATGATCTGTTGGATTATGAACTTCAATGTTGATTTTGGTGTAGGTTTCTTCATTAATGTGCGACGTGTTTGCTAGATGAGTTTCCTTAGAACTATTTATTCTCTGCGGCATGTTTAGGAGAAAAAGGAGCCATATAATAGCTAGTGTAACAATATTACGTTGTCGAAAAATATTTTATAATTACGGGGTTTTTTTATCATATAGAGATTCCCTCACTTTGAGGAACACCAAATACACGGGGAAATTATCCAACCAGTCTTTAACCTATTGTACGGATATCAATTCATTACTAAACTTTCAAATTTGTCAATTTAGTCCTGAACTTTTGTGCGACGTTAGCACTGTTTGCTTTTCCGTCTTCCGTGTTGGCAGCCACATAAGATTTTTAGAAGGTGTTTGTTAACACAATTTTGACGGAGGATAAATGTGTCCCACGTGTACAAATATGTAGTAAATTTATCGCGACGATATAAGTTTAGGGTATTTGGTGTCACTGAAAATAGTTTGGGGTAAATGTATTATATCGTTATAAGTTTGGAATTTAGGATGTTACAAAAAAAATTAGGATAAATGTGTCATGACGGGTATAATTTGAAATTTTTTTGTGACTTTTTTTCCTAAGACTAATAAGACAAGATATTTATTTTTTACTAAAAAAGAATTTACTATGCATCATGATATCGTCTGCAATCGACCGTGTGGGGATGACTAGATCCCACAAGACATGGAACTTTCGCACCACCTCCCAGTCATCTTCCTTGCCTCTTGCAGAGATGACCATGAACACTTTTGTCCTCTCTCTCTCTGTCTCCACTTTCCTCCCTCATCACAGAGCAAAGCACAAGACCTGTCTCATCGATGGAGCGTTTTGCCTGGCCTGAGTACCTCTCCTCAAGCCGCAAGCACGCGATCCAGGAGCTCCTCCATGGCCAGAACCCCACGAAGAAGCTCAGACATCTCTTCGACGCTCACTCTCAAACTGGCAATGACACGGGGCAGCCCTTGCTTGCGGAAGATCTGATCGTCAACGCCCTCAGGTCGTTTAGCAACACCCTATCCCTATCAAGCAGCTCCGAGTCCTACGAGGTCTTGCAGGTCCCGACCAACGCCTGTGTCAGGTCCGAGGTCTCCGAGGGAAGTGAGAGCATCAACACCCCGGTCCCGAGGTAATTAAGGGCCAAAATTCGTGTTTTTTTGTTTTGCTGACTTTGTCTCAATAGTAATTTATCTATTTAAGTGGAGTTTTGCGTAATTCAAAAATATATGAAGTGTCTTTTTGGGAAGAACAATTACATGTAAGGTGAGCATCACAGGTTTGAAAATGACAGTGTGAAGATCTTTCGGAATTTAGGAAAAAGTGAAGACGTGAAAAGATAGTTTGGCTGTTCATATGATTTTGGGACACCACTTGGACAGTTCATGATTGGATTATAACGAGCTTGTCTAACTTGCAGAGAATAAAAGTTTTTTTTTTTTTGTTATTTCATTTATGTTATTGGGCAGAGGATGGAAGAGGTTATACATGGAGCTAAATTATATATGGACATTTCTAACATGAAATGGAAATTACTCATTTTTTTGCAGAAAGACTTTAGATACATGGACAAGACTGGACCGGAATTTGATGGACGATGGGCACCAATGGAGGACATGTGATCAGAAATCGATTCTCAACTCCAAGTTACCCCCAGGTACTTCACAAATAATATATCCATTTTCACTAATTTCTCATAAATATTGGATTTGTTTTGTTCTTAGTTACAAGGGAATCTTACTTGTGCTGCAGGGCATCTAGCTGGAAAGAATTGCCGGAATGAGCTATCAGAAACAACAGTTAGTAAAGGGCCTGTTGATCAGGCTACATTACACCATTCACCTGTGGAGCCTGTAAGGCTTACTAGACTGTGCTCTTGTATTGTTAAAGCTGTATTCTTAATGTCATTTTTCCCTCTGGACCTTCTAGTCAGTGAGTGCAACTTAATTGATTTTGTTGTCTTTACATCTGTAGTTTCTTAGAGGTGGTGGGATAGGTTAATTAGTCAGTCAGTTGCAAGATAACCTGTAGTCAGGATTGGCAGATCTCAAATATTGATAGCTGTTGACTTGCTTCCATGTCAGGTTCTAATTCTTGAGGACCCAGAGATTATTCTCATATTTTAGCTTATCATCTGCTCTGAGAGAGTGAGAGTGAGACCTTTTTGTTGTAATCTTTGGAGTATTATGTATGAGTAAGTCTTTAGTCACCATGGGCTATGTAGGAAGTTCTTTGTACACGAGACTTTAGTGCCTTTTCCAATGCCTGTTTGATGGTTTCATAATTTTCTGAAAAACCAGAGTGAATGCTTTTTCATGTCTGGATTCTTTCATTAGTGAGGATCTTTATGCAGCCTTGGTTGGTTTGAGAGTGAACCGTTGGCCAATTGATTTTCTTTTCCATTGCTCGGAGGATTCAAGAGCCGTAGTTTCTTATATGTTGTCTTCTACTATGATTTTCAATGGAAATGGCCTTTATTGTGTCTGTTATTTCAGAATTTTGATGTTAGTTTGATTGCATCTGAAAGGGTGCTACTTTTGGAAGTTTTGTTGTTTTTCCCTGAATGGCTGTCAATGCTTTTTGTAATCTTTTATTATTTGTCATGTCTACCTCCTACTTCGTATGAACTTTGAGAGACTTCAGGGAAAAGATGATACCTTGGGTTCAAGCTCTGCAAAGACTCCCAAATCCCCATTGATGCTGTTTCCATTATTGTTGGATGCCATCTCAAAAGAAGTTGCTGCCAAGGATATGAACACAATTAAAGCTAATTATGAACTTTATAGGGTGCGTCATCTTTGATTAATCACTCTTATGATCATCTGTTTACTATAACTTTTTCGTCAAAGTCTAATCTTCCTCCTCAATATTTATCAGACCAAGAGGATCTCTCGAAGTGACTTCATCAAGTGGTTGAGATCAATAGTTGGTGATGAATTGTTGTTGTCAGGCATAAGGAGTCTTCAAGGCAAGTTATTAATATTGTTGTCAAACTTGCAATTCATTATTTCTAGGCAGTTAAGTTTTTTCATGTCGACTGTAACTTAGTCATCTACTCTGGATTCTAATGGTTTTGCTCCAGTGATTAGTAAGAAATCAGATGGTAAATGGCCTGACTAGTGCTCGTCAGAGCTTACAGGATTGTTGTATCAATATTTATTCCTGGAAGAGGTCGATTTCTATCTTCTGGAGTAGGTGAAAGTGTTCGATATAAGACTGGCGAAAATTTGTGAAAATCAAGATGGGCACAACGATATGCAAACTGAAATTTTTCTTTTTGCACCATCGATGCTGGCTATTCCTCTCAAAAGAACAGACATGGGGTCTTTGTGATGATATATCCAGATTTAAGACGGAGGGATAGTTTATCCTGCCATCAATATATATTCTCTGATATTCTTGTGAAAGCGCTTCACAGTTGTTACTGCATTTTGCAGCTGACTCTTGGATCTCGTCACAATTCAAAGGTGCCTAAGCCGGAGCAAGAGGTTTGAATCTTCTTATTTAATTATGCAATGCTGTTGTCCTTAGTGTCGTGGGGATTGTGACTGCATTGATATGTTGGTTTCTTTTTCCTGGGTGTTTGAAAGTATCTCTTTTTGGATCCTTATGTATATATTCGTAATTCTATGGAATTCTTGCTGGTTGCTGCTCAGCCTAGCAAAGAACTACACTGTTGTTAGTAATTTTTCATGTTGGAAAAGAAACAATCGGCATATTATTTACCTGATATCTTCTCAATGGGGTGAATGACATTTTATGAGAAAGGTAACTTTCAACACTGTTCTCCAAGTCCATAATTACAATTATTTCTCCATGCAGTCCACCCTATAAAGTGACGACTTTCCAATCTCCCATTAGGTTGGTAATGGATCATATTCAATAAGTGATGAGAAGTATCGCTTAATAAATTAATTTTTGTAAAAATGGGGCTAATTGCGTTCACCCCCCTTTTTTGTTGCTACAAACACCCCTATTGTTGTTTACTGACCAAAATGCCCTTCATCCGTCAATTCAGTCAATCGTCAACCGTTTACCTTTTCTTTTCTCCGTCGTCTCCTCTCTGAATCGCTGTAGCTGCACTTTTCCATTCGATTAGTTTTCATGAAATTTTCCAATTTTTGTATTGATTGCTCACAGCAACACTCAACAGTTAGAGAATTTCCTCGTGTCATGCATTCAGTGAAGATTTCATTGAGGGATTTTATTCGATTCCACTTTGAGTTCATCGATATTTCCTAATCTTGGGCAATGCCGGGCACTTGTTGGTGCTTTGCCTTTGATTTACTAATTCTGAAGAATGTCTTGTGATGGTTCTGATGATCAAATTGAGAGAACCTAAAAAAAGTTTACAGAAGGGAAAAAGTAAAGCAAAAAACTACTCATGGTGGTGGAGGTCATCATGTTTGTTGGCCGTGATTATATAAGGTTGCTGACAAGTTGACTCCAATATCGGAATGCACTCATAAAGCGTTGGAGAGAAATTTCTCGAGCAGGAGAAATGCTTGACAAGCCTTTTTTTTCTGTTTTTTCTATTGTTATTGAGCATCTCAAAATCAGACATGACTCTACCAAAAGGAAAATTACCAAAAAAGTCATAAACCTATTGCATGTATGCCAATTCAGTTTTAAATATTTTAATTTAGCCAATTTAGTCCAAAGTAATTTGACAATTTGCCAATTTTGATTGGAAATGGCTGAGGTAAACGCCAGTTGTTTTATATGTCACGATCGATGCTGATGTTGACAATTTTTGCAAAATTTTTTAAAATTACTTTTTTTTCTTTTCTTTTTTTTTTCCTTCTTTCTTCGGTCAACGGGCCTCAGCGGTGGCTTGTGACGGTTGAACGTCACTGAATCTGGCAAGGGCAAGCCTCACTTGAGACCTGGCGGGCCTAGCGAGGTCAGCTCGCTAGGATACGGCAAGGTTGGCCCTCGCTTGAGGCTGGGCAACCGATGGAGGAAGAAGGAAAAACAAAATAAAAATAAAAATAAAAAAATTGAAAATTGCAAAAATAGTTCACATCGGTTCTAACTGGTGTCCACGTAAGCAATTTTGAATTAAATTTGGTAGTGTCAAAAGGCTTAGGACTTAATTGACCAAATTAAAATATTATGATTGAATTGGTATACGTACAATATGTTATGGACTTTTTTTATAATTTCTCTCTATCAAATTTGAGCTGCCCTTTATGACCAAAAAAAAAAGAATTGAGCTGCTCTTGAACCGGGTCATGTGGTCCACGTGTTTGGATTTGGTAGAGGGAGTTTATTTCTTGGGTCCAGTTCTATCCTATTTCTATTTTTTATTTTATTTTACAAGCCACTGTGTGTCTTATGTGTTGTCCTCACATTTTGAAACTCTGCTCCCTTACTCACGCGTCCTCCACCCCAGCCCCCTAAAAGGTGGGGAATTGAACTTGGTAGAGAGAGTTTGCATCGTGAGAGTTTGCAAGTGAGGCTGTCTGTGGTCGGGGCGGCGATGCCATGTTGCTGTAAGTGCAACGTCAACGTCGTGAAGCTACAATTTCTTCGTATTGTACCAAAAATCTCTTTCCACTAGTTAATAATTTAGTTGAGTCGACGCAACGTCTCCGTCTTTGTCTTCCGGAGAGGGAAGCCTCGACTCACAAGTAAAGAAGTCCTCAAAGTCGAAACTCCAAAGCCACCAAAGCCGCTATAAATTAACCCAAGAACCTCTCACCGCAAGCGTCAAGCCGTAGAGCACTACACTTTTGACACTAGAGAGTACCTCATAGCTTATCATATCCGAAGGCATGTTGATATTAATCAGAATCAATAAGGGCGGGAGCGAGAGCAAAGACAGAGAGGAAAAGGGTGAGACCAAGGGAGTCAAGTGGCACAGCCATGGCCGCAGGAGAGATCGCCGGTTTGGCGATCTGTGCTGTGGGCGCTGGCGTGGCCAGTCTGATGGGCAACTTGTCCAAGTCCAGTGGAAGGAAGACCATGAAAGCTCCCGGGAGGGACGAGCGCATCTTCCGGGACGAGTTCGCCAAGGACCCTGCTGCCTACTTTCGCGACCTGCGGAAGAAGTCGTCGCTAGCTACCAAGTAAAAGGAGAAATTTGAGTTGTTGCTTGTGGTCCAATGTCTCTCTTTTGGTTTTGCATGGTGTCTTTAGGTATCACCCTTACGGTCCGTGTGTTTATGGGGTATATTTTGTACTCCATTCTCGTGGTTAATGCGAGTATTTATGTTTACATAGTAGTTTTTCATTATAGACAGGAGTCATCGGCTGTACCCTGTAAATCAACCCACAAGCTGTATTGCTTTTCCCCGACGACATTGACCATGAGTTGCAAAGACCTGCAAAGAGTGCCTGTGGAGGCACAGCCATTCCCATCCCCAATACTGCTGCTTGCATTTTGCCGATGCTTTGAAGCGTGGAAGCTGGTCAGTCCAAAAATTCTATTACCAGTTCTACACATTTTCTTGGTGAATTTTTTATTGATTTCATTAGTCTAAAATATATATCAAGTCTCTTTATTTACTATATCAAATAATCTATCTTTTTTCCTTATTATAACTTTTTTCCTTATTATATCACTTCCCTTAGTGGCTTGTTTCAACCAAGACAGTTCAACGTTCGAATTACCAATGCTTCGACGAACGAAAGACATCTGCAAAATACAAACCCAAATCCGATGAGAACAACCACACTCGAAAAATAGGTGAGATTTGGGTTCACTATGATCATCACAAAACTGCAAGCCGGGAAATGAACAACCTGCTCCAAAGCAATATATCCTTCTTTCTGCTTCTAACAATATCAGCTTAAGTCCTCCTAATTTGACATAAAAGACCTGAAATCACAATGCTTGACCTGTTTCCAATGTTTCATGCTAGCTAGGTTGATTTTGAATTCACAAATAATTGTAAATATTTTCACCGACCTCATGCAAAATATAGATGCTAAAATTGAATGTTGCCGATTCATATTCAACTACACTGAACATGACGGAATCATATAATTTCTCTTTTTTCGATGCCGATGAGTTACAAAAATGTGTTTGGAGCTCTTTGACCATCTAACTAATTCCTATTATAGCACTAATTCCGGCCCCACAAACATTAAATTGAAGGAATGTGCAAGTTTAGTGATACCTAAGTAGTTGGTGACTTTCGACCAAAAAAAAAAAAAAAGTAGTCGGTGACTTGTGATGACTAAAAATATCAAAATTAGAAGTTAAAAATAGGACTCGGGCTAAGTTATGTTTGCTTGTCCTAAGTGGATCTGTAGTAAAAAGCCCATCATTGACTCAGTTAATGGGCTTCAATTCAACGCAAAGTGCAGAACAAGATCACAAGAGTGTCCGTGTCAATGTACCAAAATCCCAATTAGGCAATTATCGAATTAATAATTGAGAAAATTCCAAATAAATATCCGAAGTGCTCTCATTTTCTCAAATAAGAGCATGAATCATGTGTCAAATAAGGATCCGAAGTGCCCTCATTTTCTCAAATAAGGGCTTAAAGTAATCATTGTCTCAAATAAGGGTCTGAAGTGGCTATCTTAATCTCAAAAAAAGGGCCTGACCTCAGCGGAGTCAAGGGCATTTTTGCCTTTTATTTTTTGATTTTTTTCCTTTTTCGTTTTTTCCATAAAAATCAACCTCAAAAACAAAAAAAAAGCTAAAGTTTAAAAATAAAAAACAATAAGGGGAGGGCCTCCCCGCCGGTGGCCGCCGTCCCATCGCCGGTGGGGTGGCGGCGATGGCTGGCGAGGTCGCCAGCTCCTCAGCGAGGGCCTACTGGCCCTCGCTAGAGCCAGGAGAGGGTGGCAACCCTCTCCCAGATTTGGGCAAGGGTCGCTAGCCCTCGCCCCGATCTGCGGGAGGGCTGTCGGCCCTCACACAAGTTTGGCAGCCCTCTCCTAGACTTGGGTGAGGGCTGGTGACCCTCGCTATGACCGGGGTGAGGTCCAATGACCCTCGCCTAGATCTGGGAGAGGGTCGCCGCCCTCTCTCAGCTCTAGCGAGGGTCGCCGACCATTGCCACCGCCCCACCAACGGCCACTGGCGGGGAGGGCTGGCTGCGAGCCCTACCAATCCTTCCATGTTTTTTCTTTTTTCTTTTTATTTTTAAAATTTTAAATTTAATTTAACTAAAATTATATTTTAAAATTGTTTTTGGACGAAAATGCCCTTGGTTAGCTAGAAAATTTGGCCGGCTGGGTGAGGCCTTTATTTGAAACTGTTATAGCCACTTCAGATCCTTATTTGAGAAAATAAGGGCACTTCATGTCTTTATTTGAGGCCTAATTCCCTAAAAAACCCCAAACTTTAGGTGTTGTCCCAAATCTACCCTAAACTTTTTTTTGTCTCATAAAAAATCACAAACTTTTATTTTAAACCCAAATCTGCCCTAGGTTGATTTTCTGTCCAAATGTTGACAATTTTTTTCCAACTGGTCATCCACGTGTCTATCTTCTTTTCCCACGTCAGCTTGGGTTGACTGTTTCTTTCTTTCTTTTTTGTTTTTTCATTCTCTTCTCCCTTTCACTTTCCGCCATGGACAACGAGAGCACCATCAAGAACACAGAGAAAGCCCAGGTGCTGCCACACGCCGTTCACCGCCGCAACAGCTTGCGTGCCCGTTGCCACGACTTCCTCGTCACCTCGTCGTTATTGTAAGCCCAGACGCTTCCATTTGCCGAGCCTCCACCCCCTCTATTTGTCGGTGGATAGTTGAATTTGGGATCAGGATGTCGGATCCAACGCCGCCACGCCCAGATTTGGAGTCGCCGGCAGTCGCCCAAGGCCGGCGACACCATCGTCGCTTTCAATCTTCACATTGCGACCTCTCCGTCTATCTCTGCGTTGGTCAGTAATTTGGGCCAAAATCTTCCCTTTTCTCTGTTTCTAATGAAACTCTAGCACTAAAATGGCGACCAGAGGTAGCAAATCGGAGAAGGTGAAGCGAATTTTCCAGCATTTGATGGGAACCGTGATGGAGGGCTCAACAGGGAGGAAATGGTCGCGCTCGCGGTGGCCGTGAACCCGAGGGTCAAGTTCAAGACCTAGGGCGAGTGCATTGACGGCGAGAAGGGGCTCACCTATGAGGGCTTGTTGAGGACCTACGATAACGGCACCGGCGACGTGGACCGCTACTTCAACGTGCTGGGCCTCGAGCTCAATTCCGCCGACGCCAAGAACAAGGAAGTGAGGTCGGGCTCGGACGAGGTGTCGTCGTCGATTGTTGACGAGAGGGCAATGGAGATGCAGAAGAAGCAGAGGACAGCAACTTGGGCTGGTGTCGCCTAACCATGGGGTGGCGTTTGCGGATGATTTGGAGATTTAGGTGAAGAGGTTGAAGGCGAAGGATGAAGAAGGTGAATGGCGGAAAGTGCAAGGGAGAAGAGAATGAAAAAACAAAAAAGAAAGAAAGAAACAGTCAACCCAAGCTGACGTGGGAAAAGAAGATAGACACGTGGATGACAAGTTGGAAAAAAATTGTCAACATTTGGACAGAAAATTAACCTAGGGCAGATTTGGGTTTAAAATAAAAGTTTGTGATTTTTTATGAGACAAAAAAAAGTTTAGGGTAGATTTGGGACAACACCTAAAGTTTGGGGTTTTTTAGGGAATTAGGCCCTTTATTTGATATAAAGTCTACTTCAAGCCCTTATTTGAGAAAATGAGAGCACTTCGGGTTGTTATTTGGAATTTTCCCTTAATAATTGGATTTCATATTCTATTTAGTCCCCCATTAGTTTAATGACAAATTTCGACATGTTATAGGTGAAAATATCTGAATGCATCATATTAACTTAGGCTTAAAATGTACTCTCACGTGTAAACTTCATATCGTAAAACCATGTCAATTCATATTCATCATCGCAAAACATTACATTTTTTTTGGTTAAAAGTAAGCTAAAAAAATGATGTGTTTTTTAAATTTATATTTTCTCTTATCAGAATTAGGCTTCATCAAAAATCTACTTTCATAATCGTAGAATCAGATTTATCATTTCAATTTCAAGGATACTTCTACACAGTTTGGTAAAAGAAAAAAAGGAGAATGACCAAGCCTAATTTATGGTAATCTTTCTTTGAAAGTTGTAATTTTTTTATTAATAATAATGGGCCGCGCTTTTTTCACTCCTACTATGGCTAAAACACTCCCTATCATAATCTTTTGACAATTTTAAGCTTTGTGGGTTCCATCTTTTTTAAACATCATTTTTTGCTTGGTTGTAGTGTCCCATTTGTTTTATTCTTCATATATCGAACTTTCAATATAAGTTTCAAGACTTAATTTCATTATTCGTTTTCAAAACAAGTAACCGAAAGTGTCGGAACAACACTCAAGAGCAACGAGTCTGGTGGAGAATAGATACCGATGTAGCTAACCTTGCTACGATCTGTGTAGAAAGACTCGACGAGCCTTTCCTTGGACATCAAGAGCTTTGATACCAAGATAGATTATGAGGCAGAGAAATTGTGTTATTTATGCGTATTTGATAACGAAGAGTACATTAACATATTTATAACATTGAGTATTTAAGGTAACATGATATTATTACAATCAATTAAGATTAAAAAAAAGGATATGTATAATTAAATAGAGATAATTTACAATTCTAATGACGTGGAGAATCATGAAAAATATTTTAAATCGCTTAATCATTTTTCAATTATTTCAAACTATATTAATAAATAACAGATAAGAAATGATGATCTCCTTGGGCTTCACAAATATAATTTTGAGTTACATGCATAATATGACATTTGAGAGAATTAAATCATCACTCCCATCGATACATGATAATAATTATAACTAGGGGTGTCAGAACCGAACCGGAAAATCAAACCGAACCAATCCGAACCGAAATTTTGTGTGTTTTTTATTTGGTTCGGATAATTAAAAAAATAACAGTTTTTTTTTTGCCAGTTCGGGTTTTATCGGTTCGGTTCGGTTCGGTTTATAAGCGGAGCTGAACCGAAAATGCACAACATTCAGATTCGATCATTTGGGTTTCTCTCGCGAGATCTTCACGTCTCCCTCTCTCTCTCTCTCTCTCTCGTCCAATCAATCCTTCGATGATTCTGTTCCCTCTCGCATTCACGCCATTCTTCTTCGCAGCGAACAAGGCCCCTCTTTCTATTAATCCCTCTCTCTCTCTCTCCTCCCCATTTCTCCCAAGATCCTCACCTTCATCGCGGTTTCCAGCTGCATGGCCAGCAAGACCTCCTCGGCGAGGAACAGGAAGAGCACAGCTCCTCCGCCCTCTCCGCGGCGCGTAATTCTCGGCATTGTTTGCTGAGAGGCCGCCGCCGCCGCAGACCACCGACACGTCAGGGAGGATCTGGTTCGTGCCGTACCACCGGCCGTCGGAGAGCTCCGCGTGGTCGAGCTCGACCCAGTCGCAGCTGCCGCGGGGTTGCAGGGGGCGGTAGCGGCGGATCTTGGGGAAGCCGTCGAGGTCGGCACGCGCAAAGGCGGCGAAACCGTTGAGGGCAGTGGTCGTGAAGAGGAGGAGAAATCACCATCGTTCTGAAGGTGAAGCGAAAGGCCCCATGAGAGAGAGAGAGAGAGAGAGGGCGACAAAGAACGTAAGGATGCGGTGGGAGGAGAGAGAGAGAGAAAGGGCATCTGTCCAAAAACCCCAAAAAATCAAATCAAATCAAATCAAATAAAGGAAAATCGAAAATTCGAACCGAACCAAACTGATCCGAACCGGGTTTTTGGTTCGGATCATATTCGGTTCGAGGAGCTATTTGATTTGGTTCGAATGTTCATCCAAACGGTTCGGTTCGGTTTGGTTCGGGTTTTCCGAACCATTGACATACCTAATTATAAGAATGATATTACTAATAAGACCAGATATCCATTTTTACTAAAAAAGAAATTTGCTATCCCACGCGCCGCGCGTGGGGACCGCTGGATCCTCTCTCTCCCTCCCTCTCGTCACAGAGCAAAGCACAAGATCTCTCTCATCAATGGAGCGTTCCGCTTGGCCTAGGAACCTCTCCTCAAGCCGCAAGCGCGCGATCAAGGAGCTCCTCCATGGCCAGAACCCCACGAAGAAGCTCAGACATCTCTTCGACGCTCACTCTCAACCTGGCAATAACACACGGCAGCCCTTGTTTGCGGAAGTTCTGGTCGTCAACGGCCTCGGGTCGTTCAGCAACACCCTATCCGAATCGATGAGCGCCGAGTCCGACGAGGTCATGCAGGTCCCGACCAACGCCTGTGTCTGGTCCGAGGTCTCCGATGAGGAGAGCATCAACACCCCGTTCCGGAGGTTATCAAGGGACAAAATTCGTGTTTTTCTTTTCTTACTTTGTCTGAAAAGTAATTTATCTATTTAAGTGGGGTTTCGCGTAATTTAAAAAAATGCGAAGTTTCTTTTTGGCAAGGAACAATTACATATAAGGGGAGCATCACGTGTTGGAAGAAAAAGTTTGGCTCTATATCTTTTGGAAAAGTTTCTTTGTTTAGTTCCATATATTTTTTGCTTTTTATCCCCTGATGATTACCGCGAGAAACAGATCTTTTGGAGATGACAGAAAGATGGAGGATCCAGAGCTCGAGGAGGGCGAGGCCTATTCTTACCATGACAACGATCATGGTTTCGATGACGGCATAGACCCTGATGTTTCTCTATACATTGCAAGGTCCTTCTATTTGTATTTGTATTTGTTGTATACTCTGAACTAGTTCATTTATTCTCGTGTATTTCTTGCGTTTAGCAAGTGCTGGCTTTTAGGATTTGACTTGCCATATTTGGTCCACTTTACCTCCCATTTATGGGCTGTAGACACTTTATAGGTGGATATGTTTAAATGTTTCTGTATGACATATAGATCTGTTCTTACTACGGGGTTTGGATGCTATTGGACTGAGTTTCTTGTTCACAAAACCTGTCATAAGCATTCTATACGAGGCTAAGTCTCAAGAATCTGGAGATAAAGAAGAACAGATTGATGCAATGATTTGATTTGAGAAGGAGAAAGAAATGTTGGCACAGTATATCGTCTAGCTGTTGTTGGCGTTCTGTTTTTCCTTCCCAGCAGTTTTATGTATGTAGGGAAAGGTATTTAGCTGGAAAAGGGCACTTACTTTAGTGAAGTTTCTGATCTTAGAAATATCTTCAGTATGAAGAGAGGAAGGATGGTGGATAGGATTACGAAGTAATTTCTTTCTTCTTCATGTAACTTTTTGGTACAGTAGCAGCTGTGTCTCTGTATAAACCGTTACTCTGTCTCCTTCATTCCTTTGGTCATTTGTCTAAGTGTCTTCAGGATTGGTTTCCTATGTATGCTTGTCCCCTTTGTCGTGTAATTATTGGGAAATGGTTGACGTTACTGTTTTAATTTTGAAGGAGGAGAAACTTCAGGAAGTTCTGGGACACTTCCGTGACGATTTTAAAAGAGGGGTAACAGCTGAGAACCTGGGTAACTGAAAAAGTTAAAGATGATACTTTTTTGTGATCCAAGAATGACCGATGTGTATAACCTTAAATTTTTGGGGATATGTATTCTGCAGGGGCAAAATTTAGTGGTTACGGTTCGTTTTTACCAGCTTACGAGCGATTTCCACCCAGAGGTCAGAATTATGGTACACCACGGTCGACACGTACGTCAAGTGGGGAGGTAGAGAGTGTTTTCCTCGGTGGGAAACCTGTATTTCAATTTGGTTTTCCTCTTATTACTGGATTTAGCACTTAAAAGAGTTCTGCTTTTACTCAGGATTTGCGCCATGATTCTTCAGTTTCCTTACCCACCACCCATGCGAATAGGGATCTACCTGTTTTTGCTGCTACCATGTCACACGCTTCAAGGAAGAAAACGAATGTGCAAAATTCAGTTAAGCAAGATGGGTGCAGGCCACCTCTCCAGGCTGTAGAATATTTTGACAGTAAGTCTGCCAATTTGTCTAATCGGAAATTGCTTAAAGGTTAGAACCCTTGCCAATGGCCGGCGAGGGTCGCGATGCCTTGCCGGTGGCCAGTCGCTGGCCATGGCCGAGTACCGGACACAAGCCAAAGGGAAGGAAAAGGCAAAAAAAAAAAAAGGAAAAGAAAAAATTGATAAAAAAAATTCGAAAATAAAAAAAAAAAATTATATACGTTAGCGCCGACCGTGTCACATAGGACGGCCGGCGTTCACGTCAACAATTTCCAGCCTCAATTAGCCGAAAGGACTTAATTGGTATCAATTGAAAGGGTTAGAACAGAATTGATACTAATGCATTAAGTTTATGACTTTTTGGTATTTTTCTCCCCTGATCTTATGATTTTGGGACATAACTTGACAGATCATGATTGGATTATAACGAGATTGTCTAGCTTCCAGCATCAAGAAGTTTTTTTTTTCTTGTTATTTTATTTATTTTGATTTTGGGCAGAGAATGAAAGTGATTTTACATGGAGTTGAATTCAATTTATGGTTCTGAATAAATCTAATATGCTCATTTTTTTCCAGAAAGCCTTCGGATACATGGACAAAAGGGAGCTCTCAATTCATCGACGACGGGCACTCGAGGAGGAAATACGGTTAGAAAGAGATTCTCAACTACGAGTATTCCAGGTGCTTCACAAATGATATACATTTTCATATATCTTCAAAGATATATATATATATATATATATATATATGTGTATGTGTGTGTGTGTGTGTGTGTGTGTGTGTGTGTGTGTGAAATAGAGAGAAATTCATTCTTGTTTGATGTCTAAAACAGGGAAAATTGTCCAAAAAATCCTAAATTTTTTAAGTTTGCCAATTCAGTCATAAACCTTTTCACTTTTTGTCAATTAAGTCTATCCAACCAATTTTGGCCGTCCAGCGCTAACGTGGCCGCCGGCCAATGCTGATATGGCCGCCGGCTGGCGCTGGCCGTCCGGCCAACGCTGACATGGAAATTTTTAAATATTTTTTTTCAAAATATTTTTAATATTTTTTTCTTTTTTTTTTTATTTCTTCCCTTTGGCTGGTCCGGCAACCGACCAGAGGAAAGAAGGCCAAAAAAAAGGAAAAAAAATTCGAAAAAATATTTTAAAAATATTTAAAATTGCCATGTCAGCGTTGGCCAGACGGCCGGCCGGCGTCCACGTCAGCTCAGGGCGGCCAAAATTGGCCGAATGGACTCAATTGGCAAGAAGTAAAAAAGGTTTAGGACTGAATTGGTAAAAGTGCAATAGATTTAGGACTTTTTGGATAATTTTCCCGTCTAAAACATATATTATGTATCTTTACAATAAGTCACGGCTTCAAATTAATAAGAAACTCATCCACTATGTCGACTTGGCTAGTATATTTATGCTTCTCTCGTGATGAACAATTAAACAAATAATTATATGGTTATTGACCCACCACGTGTGATAAATTGAGGGAACGAATTCTTTTGATTGTCATAACACGATATAATTTATATTCTGATCGAAACAAGCTCAATATTGCTTTTTATCGACTGTCATCATATGAAAAAATTTCAGGTTATGTTTTGGATTGGAAGCGTCCAAACCCCAATCTCAAATCAAGCGTTCATTTAATTTACAATTTAATCGAAACAAACGAGTAAGGCCGTGTTTCGGGGCACTTGCAGGACCTGCTGCTGGTGCATTCACAAGATCGACTAGGGATGTTCGGCGACCAAGCAGGTCCGACGGACCAGCCCACTCATCTACGTGATTTTACGTACCAAGGCCGCCACACTTGCAAAGATGCTCATCATTTAACCCCCCCCCATTCTCAGACCATCCCCCCCAAAAAAAAACCATTCATCCTGGACTCACCATTCGACCAAAAATAAAATAAAATCCTGGACTCACCAAGCCCTAGGGACTCCTCCATCCTCCTAAGTTTCAACGCTAGCGTCACTGCCAAACAAGACGACATCAACAACAACCCCTTCTCTTCTCCTTCAACTTTCTATCAGTGGATCATGAGCAAAGGTTGCCCAGTGAGGATGATCTGAACCCCCACGGCCACAGCCATGACGACAATAGCAACAACAACATTTAATCCGCAGCATCCGATTACTGCCCTGTATTCAAATCTGCCGGGGAGATCTAAGCCCTGTCGTCAGATCAAGGGATTGTGATGCTTAGGGTCTCATGGTTTTGATATGATTGTGGGGTTCTGAGTTTGATGATCTGTTGGATTATGAACTTCGATGTTGATTTTGGTGTAGGTTTCTTGATTAATGTGAGAGGTGTTTGCTAGAATGAGTTCCCTTGAAACTATTTTAATCTAATGCGGCTGTTTGTTTGTTTAGGAGAAAAAAGGAGCCATATAATAGCTAGTGTAACAATAGTACATTGTTGAAAAATATTTTAAGGGGTTTTATATATCCTCTAAAGATCCTCTCACTTTGAGGAACTCCAAATACAGGGAAAATTGTACAATCAGTCCTAAACCTATTGTACGGATATCAATTTAGAATTAAACTTTTAAATTTGTCAATTCGGTCCACAACTTTTGTGCAAAATAAATGAAGTTTTCCAATCAATTTCCGCTTGAAATCACTAATATAGCGATATGCCACGTAAGATGATCGGTAATGACTGTACGTGGCGATGGCGTGGTGGATGACGTGTGCGTTGGCTGAACGGCTCGACTGACACTAACATGCTGATGATGTGTGGGTGACATTAGCAACACATGTGCAAAAGCTTTATGTGCGTGGATCCAAGAGGTTGGGCTGCGTGTGGCGATGGATTGAGATGACATTTTAAGAATTGACTCGTTTGAGGGCGGCAAGTCTGATAGTGGTTTGCTTTTCAAAACAAGAAATCGAAAGTTATGTGCGGCGAGTATATTAGAGAACAGGGTATATTGGCGAACAGTGCGGTTGACGTTGGGTTCAGATATCAAGAGCTCCAATACCAAGATAAAAATATGCGGAAGAGAGAATTGTGTAATTTTTGTATATTTAATAATATTGAATTACATTAGCCTATTTATAACCTTTACAAGATGACTATTTAAGGTAGCATGATATTATAATATCAATTACAATCAATCAAGATAAATCAAGAATATGCACAATTAAATGGAGATAATGCACAATGAGACACATGTAGAATCGTGAAAGTTACGAGAAATCGCTTAATTATTTTTTAAATTATTTCTAACAATATTAATAAAACAGAATAGCAAATATGATATATTGCTCTCCTTGGGCTTCATAAATATAATTTTGAATCACAGGCATAATATGATATTTGAGAGAATTAAATCATCACTCCCATCTATGTATGATGCGACTGTAACAATAATAATACTAATAAGACCAGATATTCATTTTTTTTTCTCTTTAGAAAGAAGTTGCTATGTGTCATGATACCCCACGCGCGGCGCGTGGGGGAGAAATGGATCCCACAAGACGCGGAACCTTCACACATGTCAACGAGCTCTTTTGTCCTCATCAAAAAGCCTCTCTCTCTCTCTCTCTCTCTCTCTCTCTCTCTCTCGACTTTCACGCCCTCATCTCAAAGCAAAGCACAAGACCAGTCTCATCAATGGAACGTTCCGCTTGGCCCAAGAACCTCTCCTCAAGCCGCAAGCGCGCGATCACGGAGCTCCTCCACGACCAGAATCCCACGAAGAAGCTCGGACATCTCTTCGACGCTCACTCTCGCACTGGCAATGACACCCGGCAGCCCTTGTTTGCGGAACATCTGGTCGTCGTCAACGCCCTCGGGTCGTTCAGCAACGCCCTATCCCTATCGAGCGGCGCCCAGTCCGATGAGGTCGTGCAGGTCCTGAGCAACGCCTGTGTCAGGTCCGAGGTCTCCAAAGGGAAGTGAGAGTATCCAGTCCCCGGTCCCGAGGTAATTAAAGGCCAAAACTCGTGTTCTTTTACTTCTGGTTTTGTCTGAAAAGTAACAAAACTATGACAGTGGAGTTTCGCGTAATTTAAAATCATATGAAGTTTCTTTTAGGCAAGAACAATACATATAGGGTGAGCATCACATATTGAAAATGAGTTATTTTTTTTGTTATTTCATTTATTTTGTTATTGGGCAGAGGATGAAAGAGGTTTTACATGGAGCTAAATTATACATACATGGGTCTAAGTAGTTCAAACATGAAATGTAAAATTACTCATTTTTACGCAAAAAGACTTCAGATACACGGACAAGACTAGACCAAAATTTGATCGACAATGGGCACCAATGGAGGACATATGATCATAATTCTATTTTCAACTCGAAGTTCTCAAGGTACTTCACAAATGATATATCCATTTTCATTAATTTCTCGTATATCTTCTATTTGTTTTGTTATTAGTTAAGATAATGAATCTTAATAATTCTAATATAAATTGGGAATTACTCATTTTTTCATAGAAATACTTCAAATATACGTTGGACAGTAAGTGTGAGTCCTGATTTGGACGACGGGTACCAATGGAGGATAGTTGATCAGGGACCGATTCCCAAAATCCCTGGGTACTTTACAAATGATATACCTTTCCCTAAACATCTCATATATATGCATCTATCGAGAAAAATATTGTATAAAGTAGAGAGAAATCAATTCTTGCTTGATGTCTAAAACAAATATTATGTGGGCATCTTTACAATAAGCCATGTCTTCAAACTTAATAAGAAACACATCCATCCATCAACGTGGCTAAATTATTTATGCATCTCTAATGATGAACAATTAACCAAATAATGTGTTATTGCTTGTGATTGAAGCTGTGTTTGGGGGGCACTTGCAAGAAGTACTTCAGGTGCGCTCACCAGATGGATCAGGGATGTCAAGCAGCCAAGTGGGTCGATAGGACATTGTATGACCCACGATTTTTCCGGATCGCATGCCAAGACCGCCACACTTGCAAGAAACTCATCCTCAAATCCCCCCCACTCATCGTGGACTCACCAAGCGCTAGGGACGACTCCATCCCCCTAAGTTTCAACACTAGCCTCTTTGCCGAACAAGACGACGAGAACAACCCCATCTTCTTCGACTTTCTATCGGTGAATCAGGAGCAAAAGTTGCCTGGTGATGATGTTGTGAACCCACCCCCCGGCCACAGCCATGACAGACAATAGCAACAACAACAATCAATCCACATCATCCGATTACTATGCCGTATTCGAATATGCCGGGGAGATCTTAGCCCTGTTGTCAGATCAAGGGGATGTGATGTTAAGGTCTCGCAGTTTTGATATGACTGTGGGCTCTGAGTTTGATTCTCTGTTGGATGATGAACTTCAGTGTTAATTTTGCTGTAGGTTTCTTGATTAATGGGTGTTTTCTAGATGAGTTTCCTTGAAACTATTTATCCCATGCGGCGGTTTGTTTAGGAGAATAAGGAGCCCTATTATAGCTAGTGTAACCACATTACGTTGTCAAAATATATTTTGTAATTACGAGGTTTTATATATTCTCTGCAGATTCTCTCACTTTGAGTCTTTGAGGAACACCAAAAACACTTCACTTTTATAAAAGAAGGTGCAAATATCCATCGTTACACTCAACTCAAACTTATACAATAAACATCACGAATTATCTGCAAATGAAAATTTGTTCTACAGCAAACTGACTCTATATTGACTAACATGAACCGATTCCATCAAGGGCCAAGAAACAAAAGGTTCAAATCCTTAATAACCAACTCCACATCCTATGATCAAAATATACCAGAACATCGCACCCTTTTATAATCTAAACCATCAACTATATCTGCTGCATAACGGACACCACTGATCTAGAGGTCCATAAATATAAGGGAGTTCTCCTCCGCTAACCACTTCTCCACCGCACATAATCTCAAATACAACTTAGAGGTGTTTGTACTTCGAGTCCCTACATCCTTCGAAGCAGTGTTTGACTGTGAATCTCACAGTTTTAATCACAGCATCAACAAGAGGAAGAGATTGAATGTAGCTTGGAGCTCCCGGCTCTCCACTGAAAAACGCGACGACTCCATATTAGCTTCAACAAACACTTGCGAAAATCTCTTCCCTTAGTGGTCTGCTTCGACCAAGATAGTTCAACATTCCAATTGCCAATGCTTCAATGAATGAAACACATATGCAAAATGCGAACCGATGAGAACGACCACACTTCGAAAGTAGGTGAGATTTGGATTCACTATGATCATCACAAAACTGCAAGCCGGAAAAGAACAACCTACTCCAGAGCAATTTATCCTTCTTTCTGCTTCTAACAATATCAACTTCAATCCTCCTAATTTGACATAAAAGACCTGAAATCACAATGCTTGACCTGTCTCCAATGTTTCATGCTAGCTAGGTTGATTTTGAATTCACAAATAATTGTAAATATTTTCACCGACTTCGTGCAAATATAGATGCTGAGATCAAATGTTGCTGATTCATATTCGACTACATAGAATATGACGGAATCGTATAATTTATCTTTTTTTTTAATGCTGATGAGTGACAATAATGTGTTCGGAGCTCTTTGAGCATCTAACTAATTCCTACAGCGCTAATTCCGGCCCCATAAACATTAAATTGATGGAATGTGCAAGTTTAGTGATACCTAAGTAGTTGTTGACTTGTGATGACTAAAAATATCAAAATTAGAAGTTAAAAATACAACACGGGCTAAGTTATGTTTGCTTGTCCTAAGGGGATCTGTAGTAAAAAGCCCATCGTTGACTCAGTTAATGGGCTTCCATTCAACGCAAAGTGCAGAACAAGACCACAAGAGTGTCCATGTAACAAAATCCCAATTAGGCAATTATCGAATTAATAATTGGATTTCATATTCTATTTCCCCCATTAGGTTAATAACAAATTTCGACATATTATACGTGAAAATATCTGAATGCATCACATTAACTAGGCTTAAAATGTACTCTTACGTGTCAACTTTGGGTCGTAAACCCACTCAAATCATATTTATCATCGTCAAACATTACGTTTTTTTTATTAAAAGTAAGGTAAACAACGATGTGTTGTAAATTCATATTTTTTTTCTTATTGGAATTAGTCTTTGTCAAAAATCTACTTTGATAAACGTGGAATCTAATGTATCATTTCAAGGATACTTCTACATAGTTCGGTAATAGAAAAAACGAGAACGACCCCACCTAATTGATGGTAATCCTTCTTTGAAATTTGTAATTTTTTTTATTAATATTAATTTTCCCTTTATGTATCATTTTGTAACTTTTCTTTACCGGAACGCAATTTTCTTTTTATCGTCATAAGTTATGTGGATGCTATGATTCGTAATAGTCCACAAAAATGATAGCCATCTACCTAAGTTAATAGTATTTTCCTTTTCCTATTATTAGTAAATTACCTTTACTTAATGAATCATAACTTTCATTTGATGTACATAGTTGATTCGTTAATAGTAAATTTAGGCTCCATTTGTTTCAAGGAAAATATATGATTTGGAAATCTAAAATTAATCGCTTGTATTGCTTGAAATAATTAGTCAATGAAAAATATTTTTATTATCGAAAAAAAATTATGTCTAAACTTTTTCGTAAATGATGAAAATATTTGTCGTTCATTCATTTTTGTAAGCGCTATAAACAATCATTTTTAAGAAAATATTTTCCAAATCATGTATTTTTTTGCGAAACAAGTGGAGCCTTAGCTGTAAAATATTTTTCTACAACTTTTATTTAGAAGGCGTAATTTTTCTTTGATGATCGTAATATCAATTGTATCGGGATTGATTGTACATTGTTTGCTTAGGTTGCGGTAGACAACAGTTTGATGCATGGTGACCATGTTGGTCATAGTGCGTACAAAAGTGTCTACGCAATGAGGAAGAAGCGGAAGTGGCAAGCACTGCATCTGCAGGATTAAAGATAGACAAAATCGTCCGTTGTGCCTTCGAAGTAGCAAGTCGAGTTTCCTCTGTCAACAACTCCAAGAGAACTTCCTCAAGATGAGATAAAGTTGTCGATATAGAAAAGAAACTCGTATAGGTTCAAATTCATCATTAAGTACTATCAGAAATTGCATAACACAAATGAGCAAATTTACAAGCGGTAGAATCCAGTGTTCAATATAGCTCAGATAAGGCTAGCTAATCCTCAATGGCATGCATGGAGGATAAAAAATCATTAACAGATTGACTTGTCTTGTTACGCGTGCAATGCAGATTACCTAACAAGTTATTATGATGGGCAACATTTGAGGTGGAATATTGGCTAGCAACTAAGGGCACGTTTGATAACGTTTCTAATTCTCTGTTTTTTTGTTTTTTTGTTCCCCCGAAAAGAAAAAGAACAGAAATCTGTTTGTGTACGTCAGTTAATTTTTCTTTTTCCTGGAATAGAAAAGTGGCTAAGGAATAGATTTGGCATAGAAACAAGAAGTAAAAAAAATCTACTTTCCCGTTTTCAGGAACGAAAAAAGAAACAATGTCATTTTACAGAAACAATTTCATAAACCATTAAATCCCAAAACTCCAAACCCAAAACCCTTAAACCCCTAAACCCAAGAATCAAAACCCTAAACCCTAAAACTTTAAACCCCAAAACCCGAAACCCTAAATCCCGAAATCTTAAAACCCGAAACCCTAAAACCTAATATCCAAAACCCCAAAATCCAAACCCTAAAACCCAAAATCCTACCCCAAAACCAAAAATCAAAACCCTAAATCCTAAAATTCTAAACCCCAAACCCTAAAATCCAAAATCCTAAAACCCTAAAACCTAATACCCGAAACGCCAAAATCCAAACCCAAAAACCCAAACCCCAAACCTCAAAACCCTAAACCCTAAATCCCAAACCAAATCCAAACCCCAAAACCCTAAACACAAAACCCTAAAAACCTAAACCATAAATGTTAAACCCTAAACCCCAAACCCCAATTTCCTCGATCACCATCCGGTATTTGTTTTGTCTAGAAGGAGTAATTTTCTTTATGATTGTATTATGGTCATCCAATTATTAAGTCTTCACTGACATTTTTAAAATTAAATGAAAAAATTGGGAATATAAATTTTAGGATTGTATCAAACGCATTTCTGTTCTTTTTTTATTCCAGGAATAGAAATTTTGTGTAGTTCCTAGACGCATTATTCTACTCAGAAACTCGTCTAGGAAATAGAAATAAAAAAAATTATTTCTGAACAGAAATTGTTTCCGGAAAAAGAAATGTTATCATAGGCACTCTAAATCCAGGCTTCCTTTGCCATTGAGGCGACCAAACTGAAGTCTGGTAGATGGAATCAAAGTACTTCAAAACCACGTTTGGATGTGATGATTCTTACTATCCCGCTTCTCCAAATATTTAACAAATTTGTCCTCATTTTCACCAATAGTCTTAGTAGGCGCATGAATATCACCAATGCCAAAGACTGCGTCCTCTAAAAAAGTTTATCATCTCTAGCCCATAAAATATAATATGAACCATCCAAAATGGTCTAAATAGATGGTAAAACTTTCAATTTATCCATTAAGAGTCGGTCCTAAATCTCCAAGAACCAGTTGGAAGGTGGTTGAATCGGACGGAAAAGGAAGAGAACGTGTCTGGTTGGATAACTAAATCGGTTTGGTCTGCAAGGATGAATCGGTTCAGCCTGCAGAGGAAGAACTGGTTGAGTGTGCGGGTTATGCATCAGAGGCTGAGGTAGCGCTGACGTGACAATCTGTCATGGTGATGACGTGGCAGCTGACGTGGTGGCTGGCGTGTGTGTTGACTGGATGACTCGACCGACCCTGACGTGTTGATGACGTGAAAGTGATGTTAGCGATACATGTGCAGGAGCTTCACGCGAGTGGATCCGAGAGGTTGGGCTGCGTGGTTGTGTTTGAGAGTGCGTGTGGTGGTGGATCACAATGAAATTTTAGGATCTAACTCGTCTAAGGGTGGCGAGTCTGATGGTGGTTTGTTTTTCAAAACAAGCAACCGAAAGTGTTGGAAAGGCACTCAGTAGCGGTGGGTTTAGTGGAGAACGGATACCGGTGCGGTTGACGTTGTTATGACCCCGTGTGAAAAGATTAGCCAAGATATCAAGAGCTCTGACGCCATGATAAAAATATGTGGAAAAGAGAATTGTGTAATTTCTGTATATTTAATAATGAAGAGTACATTAGCTTATTCATAACATTTACAAGATGACTGTTTAATATAGTATCAATGACAATCAATCAAGATAAATAAGAATACGCACAATTAAGTGGAGATAATGCACAATCCTGAAAGATATGGAGAATTGTGAAAAGAAAATCGCTTAATTATTTTCCAATTTTTTCTAACTATATTAATAAAAAAAGAATAACAAATATGGAATAATGATCTCGTTAGGCTTCATAAATATAATTTTGAGTTACATGCATAATATGACATTTGAGAGAATAATATTATCACTTCCATCGATATATGATAGCAATTATAACAATACTAATACTAATAAGACCAGATATTCATTTTTTCTAGATCCCACAAGACGTGGAATTTTCGCACCTACTTCCACTTATCTCCCTTGCCTCTGGCCCATGACAATGAGCTCTTTTGTCCCCTCTTTCTGTCTCTCTCGATTGATCGACTTTCACTCCCTCATCACAGAGCAAGGCACAAGACCTCTCTCTCATCGATGGAGCGTTCCGCTTGGCCCAAGAACCTCTCCTCAAGCCGCAAGCACGCGATCAAGGAGCTCCTCCATGGCCAGAATCGCACGAAGAAGCTCAGAGATCTCTTCGACGCTCACTCTCAAACTGGCAATAACACTGGGCAGCCCTTGTTTGCGGAAGATCTGATCGTCAACGCCCTCAGGTCGTTCAGCAACACCCTATCCCTATCGAGCAGCTCCGAGTCCTACGAGGTCTTCCCGGTCCCGACCAACGCCTGTGTCATGTCCGAGGTCTCCGAGGAGAATGAGAGTATCAACACCCCGGTCCCGAGGTAATCAAGGGCAAAAATTCGCGTCTTTTTCTTTTTTTTGGTTTTGCTGACTTGGTCTGAAAAATAATTTATCTATTTTAGCGGAGTTTCGCATAATTTGATAAAAACCTATGAAGAGTCTTTTTGGGAAGAACAATCACATCTAAGGTGAGCATCACATGTTTGAAAATGATAGTGCGAAGATCTCTCGGATTTTGGGAAAAAGAGAAGACGTGAAAAGATCCTTTTGCTGTTCATATGATTTGGGGACACAACTTGACAGATCGTGATTGAAATATAACGAGTTTGTCTAACTTGCAGGATCAAGAAGGTTTCTTTTTATCTTGTTATTTCATTTATTTTGTTATTGGGCAGAGGATGAAAGAGGTTTTACATGGAGTTAAATTATATTTATGGGTCTAGAGTCTAACATGAATTGGAAATTACTCATTTTCCTGCAGAAAGACTTCAGAAACATGGACCGAAGTGATTTCTAATTTCATGGACGATGGGTTCTCATGGAGGAATTATGTTGAGACATGGCTTCAGAACTCCGAATTCCCCAGGTACATCTTCACAAATGATATACATTTTCTTAAATATATCTCATGATGTCTAAAACAAATATTACGGGGGAATCTTTACAATGAGTGATGGCTTCATATTTTTAGAAGAAGCACAGATGGAATTGGAATAATACGAGTTTGTCTAACTTGCAGGATCAAGAAGGTTTATTTTTTCCTTGTTATTTCATTTATTTTGTTATTGGGCAGAGGATGAAGGAGATTTTACATGTAGTTAAATTATATTTATGGATCTAAATAACTCAAACATGCTCATTTTTCCGCAGTATAACTTCAAATAGAAGGACAGAAAGGAGCTCTCATTTCGGCGACGACGGGTACCCATGGAGGAAATACGGTCAGAAAAAGATCCTCGCCGACGAATTCCCCAGGTGCTTCACAAATGATATACATTTTCATATAAGTAGAGAGAAATTCATTCTTGCTTGATGTCTAAAGCAAATATTATGCATCTTTACAATAGATCATGCCTCCAAATTAATAAGAAACCCATCCACTCCTATCAACTTGGCTAGTATATTTATGCTTCTCTCATGATGAACAATTAAACAAATAATTGGATGGTCGTTGACCCACCACGTGTTATAAATTAAGGGAACGGGTTCTTCCTTTAATTTGCTAAAATTTAACTTCATCTTACCATAACACGACATAATTCATAATCTAATGGAAACGAGCTTCATATTGCTTTTCATCAGCTAATCATATGAAAAAATTTTGGGTTATATTTTGGATTGGAAGCATCCAAACCCCCAATCTCCAATCAAGTGTTCATTAATTTACAACTTAATCGAAATAAATGATTAAGGCCGTGTTTCGAGGCACTTGCAGGAACTACTTTAGGTGCACTCACAAGATCGATCAGGGGTGTCAAGCGACCAAGCGGGTCCAAAAGATAAAGGATGACCCACCCGTTTACAGGACCATTTACCAAGGCTACCACACTTGCAAAGAACCTCATCCTCTACTCCCCCCATTCATCCTGGACTCACCAAGCCCTAGGGACTACTCCATTTTAAGTGACAACACTAGCCTCATTGCCAAACAAGACAACAACGACAACCCCTTCTCTCCTTCAACTTTCTCATCAGTGAATCATGAGCAAAAGTTGCCCAGCAAGGATGATGTGAACACCCAAGGCCACAGCCATGACGACAATAGCGACAACAACAACCAACCCGCATTGTCCGATTAGTACGCCCATTTGGAATCTGCGGGGGAGATCTGAGCCTTGTCGTCCGATCAAGGGGATGTGATGTTTAGGTCTCATACTTTTGATATGATTGTGGGGTATGAGTTTTTGATGATCTGTTGGATTATGAACTTCAATGTTGATTTTGGTGTAGGTTTCTTCATTATTGTGCGACGTGTTTGCTAGATGAGTTTCCTTAAAACTATTTATTCTCTGCGGCGGTTTGTTTAGGAGAAAAAAGAGCCATATAATAAGCTAGTGTAACAATATAACGTCATCGAAAAATATTTTGTAATCCCAGAGTTTTATATATCCTCTAAAGATTTTCTTACGTTGAGTCTTTGAGGAACACCAAATACACTTCAATTTCAGAAAAGAAGGTGCAAATATGCATCGTTACAATCAGCTCAAACTTACACAGTAAACATCGCTCATTATCTACAAATGAAAATTTATTCTGCTGCAAACCGACTTTATATTGATTAACATGAACTGATTCCATCGAAGGCCAAGAAACAAGAGGTTCAAATGCTTAACAACCAACTCCACATTCTGTGATCAAAATATACCAGAACATTACATATCCGACATATACACACCCTTACCATCAACTATAGCTGCTGCATAATGGACGATCTAGAGGTACACAAATAGAAAGGAGCTCTCCTCCATTGAACCACTTCTCCGCAACACGTAATCTCAAATGCAACTCAGAGATGATTCTACTTCAACAGTCCCTACATCCTTCGAAGCAGTGTTTGTGAATCTCACAGTTTGAATCGCAGCATCAACAAGAGGAAGAGACTGAACGCAGCTTGGAGCTCCTGGCTCTCCACTGATAAATGCAACGACTCCATAATAGCTTCAAGTTACACTCACGAAAATCATTTCCCTTAGTGGTATGCTTCAACCAAGACAGTTCAACATTCCAATTGCCAATGCTTCTATAAATGAAACACATCCGCAAAATGCGAACCCAAATCCGATGAGAACAACCACACTTCAAAAGTAGTTGAGATTCGGATTCACTATGATCATCACGAAACTGCAAGCCAGGGAAATGAACAACCTACTCCAAAGCAATTTATCCTTCTTTCTGCTTCTAATAATATCAGCTTCAGTCCTCCTAATTTGACGAAAAAGACAATGCTTGACCTGTCACATGTCGGTGGGTCGACCCACCTTAAAGAATGCACATCGTTGGTTTAATTTGTAGAAAGAAAGGTCAGAAATCATAATGCTTGACCTGTCTCCAACGTAAATATTTTCGCCGACCTCATGCAAATATAGATGCTAAAATCGAATGTTGCCGATTCAGATTCAACTACACTGAACACGACAAAATCATATAATTTCTCCTTTTTTAATGCCGACAAGTTACAATAATGTGTTCGGAGCTCTTTGAGCATCTAACTAATTCCTATAATAGCGCCAATTCCAGCCCCACAAACATTAAATTGAAGGAATGTGCAAGTTCAGTGATACCTAAGTAGTTGGTGACTTGTTATGACTAAAAATATATAAATTATAACTTAAAAATACAACACGGGCTAAGTTATGTTTGCTTGTCCTAAGTGGATCTGTAGTAAAAAGCCCATCGTTGACTCAGTTAGTGGGCTCCATTCAACGCAAAGTAGAGAACAAGATCACAAGAGTGTCCATTTCTATGTACCAAAATCCCAATTAGGCATTTATCGAATTAATAATTGAATTTCATAATCTATTTAGTCCCCCATTGGTTTAATAACAAATTTCGACATATTATACTTTAAAATCTCTGAATGCATCATATTAACTAGGCTTAAAATGTACTCTTTCGTGTCAACTCCGGATCGTAAATCCATGTCAAATCATATTCATCATCGCAAAACATTATGTTTTTTAATATTAAAAGTAGGCTAAAAATGATATGTTTTAAATTCACATTTTCTCTTATCGGAATTAGGCTTTGTCAAAAATCTTCTTTCATAGACGTGGAATCCGACATATCATTTCAAATCAATGATACTTCTACGCAATTCTGTAAGAGAAAAAAAGGTGAATGACCAAACCTAATTGATGGTAATCTTTCTTTGAAATTTGTATTTTTTTATCAATATTAATTTGCCCATTACGTATCATTTTGTAAATTTACTTTATCAGAACGTATCCGTGGATCCTATGATTCATACTAGTCCACAAAAATAGCCATGTACCTAAGTTAATAATATTCTTCTTTTTCTATTATCAGTAAATTATCTACTGAAACATAACCGTCATTTGACGTACGGCGTTGATCTCATTAAAAGTGAATTTAGGGTGCGTTTGTTTCGCGAAAAACTTCATGATAAAGGAAAGTGTTTTCCGGAAAATCGTTTTCTAGAAAAACGCTTAGTTTTCCTTTGCTTGGTAATACATGATGAAAATCGTTTTCTGATGTTTGGATTTCACTTGGAAAATGATTTCAATTACATGACTTTATTTCAAGCAAAAAGAATATTTGAATTTTATTATCATTTTTACTTTTTTAAAAAAATCGAATTTTTAATTATTTTTTATTTTTATTTTCTTTTATTGGAAAAATTGGATTTTTTTTATTTTTTAAAATTTTCTTTTTTCTCTTAAATTTTTCTTTTTTCTTGTCTTTTCTTTTCTTTTTCCACCTTCCTCTGCTGCGACCGGCTGGTGATGGCCACCGGCGAGCTCAAGGCTCGCCCGGCGATGGCCAAGGCGAGCTCGAGCTCGCCTCGATTAGCCGAGTCTCAAGCTCGACGCCAAAGGTCGTGACCTCGTCGGCCTAGGACGAGCTCGAGGCTCACCACCAGAGGCCGTCGCGAGCTCGCCGGCTGTCGCCGTGGCCGGCGACCGGCCGAGGAAGAAGAAAAAGAAAAAGGAAGAAAAGAAAAAAAAAGAAAATAAAAAGAAAGGAAAGAAAAAATAAAAAGAAAAGAAATAATAAATAAAAATGATTCGATTTTTTTATAAAAATAATAAAAATAATTTTTTAAAAATAAAATATCGAATTTTTTTATAGAAATTTTTTTATAAGAACAAACGTTTCATTAATTAAAGACCCGAACCCAAGCGCCAAGGACATGCGCACGGCCTTTGTGGACTCGAGCTAAAGGATCGGGACTAGAAATCGAGCATCGAGGACCTGAGCACAGCATTTATGGACCCGAGTTCGGGTGCCGGAGCATCGGGTACTGACACCAGGGGTTTGGGCTCAGCCTCGATGGACCCAGGCGTGGGCGCCGGGCCAGGGACATTGACTTTTAGAGCCCAGTCGCCGAGACTTGCTTCTGAATGTCGATACTTGGGAACCAAGGTTGGGGTTTTTGTGCCCAAAAGTAGAGTTTCGGGTCCAAGCGTCGATAACTGTCATATTTCGGAAATCGTTTTCCGGTTCTTTCAAAGAGGAAATCATTTTCCTGAATTTAAGCTTTGGGAAGAAAACCTTTTCCGTTGACTAGGAAAATATTTTCCGTTGACTTATTTTCCTAAGCAAACCAAACACCGGAAAAATGAGAAAAGTGTTTTCCCCGAAAATATTTTCCGCGAAACAAACGGATCCAAACTGTAAAATATTCAACAACTTTCCTTCGGAAGGCGTAAGTTTTCGTAATTTTCCACGAAAGTTATTAATCTACCTAAGTTAATAACAATTTTTTTATGACATCACTAATAAAATATTCTTTGCTCATCGTAACTTTAGTTAATGAAATTGTAAGTTCGATCATTTTTATCCAATAATCCAACATTGAAAATGGGAAGCGTCTCAGTTCCGAGGTAGTTCTCACTTGTCAAAGTTCATTCTGCTCGGAAGAGAGAGAGAGAGAGAGAGAGAGAGAGAGAGAGAGAGAGAGAGAGAGAGGGAGGAAGGAGAAGGAGATGGAAGGGAGAGAATCGTGTGCAGTCAAGCGCCGGTTGGGGTTCTTCTTCTTCTTCGTAGCTCTGGTGTGCCTGCGCGATCCGATCGCCACCGTGGATGCTTCCGTCCACGACTACTTCAATGAGGCGTTCACCTCTCGCTCCAACGCCTTCTTCTTCCACGGCGGCAGCAAGGGCCTCCTCGCTCCGCGGTCCGTGACCCCACCTTCTTCGGCAGCTCCTAATACCACGACGGGCCCCAAGGGGAAGTCCTTCATCAGGTAATGGACTTTTCCACTTTACTGCTCCGGTTCTGATTCGGCTCCAAGTGATTTTTGGAAGTTTGCTGGTGTCCCAAACGGATGAACCGCCTTTTGTTGGTTTTCTGGAATGTCATGCTGAAGCAGCGAGATGGTTGAATTTCTTTGATTCTATGTGGTTTATACATATATCGACGGGAATGCAATCGAAGTCCTCCGGATGAAACACCTGAAATTGCCTACGTGTCACTAAATAATTTTCTACATAGCATCCCAATATTGAACTTTCAATATAAGTTTCAAGACTTAATTTCATCATTTGTTTTCAAAACAAATAACCGAAAGTGTTGGAACAACACTCTGAGAGCAACAGGTCTGGTGGAGAATGGATACCAACTAGCCCTTCTTTGGACATCAAGAGCTTTGATACCGTGACGAGAATATGAGACAGAGAGATTGTGTAATTTACGCATATTTAATAGTAAAGAGTACATTAACATATTTATAAAATTGACTATTTAAGGTAACATGATATTATTACGAGGGTTAATACCACCAAAAACCCTAAACTGGTATGCGTGTGACAATTTTATCCCGAACTTTTTTTTTTTTACCATGAAAAACCCCAAACTGGTACACTTGTGACAATTTTACCCCGAACATACCACAAAAAACCCCAAACTGGTACACTTGTGACAATTTTACCCTGAACATACCACAAAAAATCCCAAACTGGTACACATGTGACAATTTTACCATGAACTAAAAATTTAATATTATTTTTTTTATTTTTTCGAATTTTTATTTATTTATTTTTTTTTTTCTTCATCTTCAACCTCTGACCGGTCGCCGGTCCGATGACCGGCCAGAGGCGGAAGCCGGCGAGGTCGGCCCCGCCGGCTGCTGGCGAGGGCCGCCCCGCCGGCGTCAGGCGAGGGCGACCCTCACCTAAGTCGGGCGTGGACAGCCCTCACCCGACTCAGGCGAGGGCTGCCCTCGCCGAATCTGGCGAGGGCTGCCCTTGTCGACGTCGGGCGAGGCCAGCCCTCGCTTGGGTGGGCGAGGACAGCTCTCGCCCGACACCGGCGAGGTCGAGCCTCATCAGCGGCCGGCGGGGCCGACCTCGCCAGCTTTCGCCTTTGGCCGGTCGCCGATCTGGCGACCGGCCAGAGGTTGAAGATGAAGGAAAAAAAAAAGAAAAGAAAAAAATAATAAATAAAAAATTCAAAAAAAATAAAAAAATAATTAGTTCTGGGTAAAATTGTCACAGATGTACCAGTTTTGGGTTTTTCGTGATCAAAAAAATAGTTTAGGGTAAATTTGTCACGAGTTTACCAGTTTGGAGTAAAATTATCACATGTGTACTAGTTTGGGGTTTTTGGTGGTAAAAAAAAAGTTTGGGATAAAATTGTCACAGGTGTACTAGTCTGGGGTTTTTGGTAATAAAAAAAAATTTCGGGGTAAAATTATCACACGCGTACCAGTTTGGGGTTTTGGGTGGTATTAACCCTTATTACAATCAATTAAGATTAAAGAAAAAAATAGAGATAATGCAGAATTTCGAGAGAAGTGGAGAATCATGAAAATTACGGAAAATCGATTAATTATTTTCTAATTATTTCTAACCATAGTAATAAAAAAAGAAGAATAACAAATATGAAATAATGATCTCCCTAGGCTTCACAGATATAACTTTGAGTCGCGAGCACGATACGGCACCTGAGAGAATTATTACAATAATAACACTAATAAGACAAGATAATCATTTTTTTCCCGAAAAAATGAATCTGCTATGTACCTTGATATCATCGATCGACATAACCGACACTCCCACGCGCCGTGCGCGGGGATAGCTCGATCCCGCGAGAGGTGGAACTTTCGCGCCACCTCCCACTTTTCTTCCTCGCCTCTTGACCACGACAATGGATGAGCTCTTTGTCCCCTCTTTCTCTCTCTCTCTCTCTCTCTCTCTGTCTTGCTTGACTTTCACTCCCTCGTCAGAAAGCAAGGCGGAAGACCCGTCTCATCAAATGGAGCGTTTTGCCCTGGCCTTAGAACCTCTCCTCAAGCGGTCAAGCCGCGAGCGCCCGATCAAGGAGCACCTCCATGGGCCATGGCCATAATCCCAGGAAGAAGTTCAGACGTCTCTTCGACGCTCACTCTCAAGCTGGCGACAACACAGGGCAGCCCTCGTTTGCGGAACATCTGGTCGTCGTCAACGCCCTCAGGTCTTTCAGCAACACCCCCTATCCCTATGGAGCAGCGCCCCCGTCCGACGATGTCTTGCAGGTCCCGAGCAACGCCTGTGTCAAGTCCGAGGTCTCCAAGGGAAGTGCGAGCATCTAGACCCCGGTCTCGAGGTATTTAAGGGCCAAAAGAAATTCGTGTTCTTGTTTCTTCTTGTTTTGTCTGAAAAGTAATTTATCTATTTAAGTGGAGTTTCAAATGATTCAAAAAACATATGAAGTTTCTTTTTGGCAAGAACAATAACACATAAGGTGAGCATCACATGTTTGAAAATGACACTGTCAAGATCTCTCGGAATCTAGGAAAAAGAGGAGACGTGAGCCGACTCTTTCGCCGTTCTTATGATTTTGGTACACAACTTGATAGAGATCAAGATTATTGGATTATAACGTGCTTGTCTAATTTGCAGAGAATAGAAGTTATTTTTTTGTTATTTCGTTTATCTTGTCATTGGGCAGAGGATGAAAGAGGTTTTACATGGAGCTAAATTATATATGTGGTTTCTGACCAAAATTTTTTTTTTTATATATGTGGGTCTAAGTAATTCTAACATGAAATGAAAATTACTTATTTTTGCGTAGAAAGACTTAAAATACATGGACAAGATTGGTCCAAAATATGATCGACACCACGCACCAATGGATGAAACGTGATCATAAATCAATTCTCAACCCCGAGTTACCTAGGTGCTTCACAAACGATACATCCATTCTCATAAATTTCTCATATATATTTTATTTGTTTTGTTATTCGTTAAGATATGTACATGGATCTTTAGAATTCTATCATGAATTGGGAATTACTCATTTTTCCGCAAAAAGACTCAACATAAATGGACAAGATTGGTCCAGAATATGATCGACGCCGCGCACCAACGGAGGAAACGTGATCATAAATCGATTCTCAACCCCGAGTTATCCAGGTACTTCACAAATGATACATCCATTTTCATAAATTTCTCGTATATATTTTATTTGTTTTGTTATTAGTTAAGATATGTACATGGATATTAAGAATTCTATCGTGAATTGGGAATTACTCATTTTTCAGCAGAAAGCCTCGAGCTTTGTGGACAAAAGTGAGTCGTGATTTGGTCGAGTGGTATCGATGGAGGAATTATAAAAAGAGACCGATTCTCAACTTCAAATTCACCGGGTACTTCACAAATGATATACCTTTTCATAAAATATTGTCTAAAAATTTTTAGACCTATTATACGGCAGCCAATTCAGTCCTAAACCTTTTAGTTTTGCCAATTCAGTTATAAGCCTTTTGACAACTTGCCAATTCAGTTATAAATTTTTCAATTATACCAATTCAGTCCTAAGCCTTTTAATGAATTATCAATTTAGTCTTTCGGCTAATTTTGGGCAAAAATCGCTGACGTGGTGGTCCAGTCGGCATCGGTCGTCCTATGTGGCGTGACCGGCGTTGACGTGGATAATTTTTATTTTTGAAAAAAATTCTAAATTTTGTATTGATTTTTTTTTATTTCTTTTCTTTTCTTTTCCTTTCTTCTCCATTGAGCCTGCGAGCCGCTGACCCCTAGGCGAGGGTTTGGGCTCGCTAGCCCTCGCTACGACTGACGACGGCATTGCGAGCCCTCACTCAAACCCTCGCCGGCCACAGTGTCGTTACCCAGGTATTTCACGAATGATACATCCATTTTCATAAATTTCTCATATATATTTTGTTTGTTTTGTTATTAGTTAATATATGTACATGGATCTTAAGAATTCTATCATGAATTGGGAATTACTCATTTTTCTGCAGAAAGCCTCGAGCTTTATGGACAAAAATGAGTCATGATTTGGTCAATCGGTACCGAGGGAGGAAATATAAAAAGAGACCGATTCTCAACTTCAAATTCACCAGGTACTTCACAAATGATATACTTTTTCATAAATATTGTCCAAAAAGTCTTAAACCGATTACACGGCAGCCAATTTAGTCCTAAATCTTTTAATTTTGTCAATTCAGTTATAAACCATTTGACAATTTGCCAATTCAATCACAAACATTTCAATTGTGCCAATTTAGTCCTAAACCTTTTGATGATTTGCCAATTCAATCCTAAACATTTCAATTGTGCCAATTTAGTCCTAAACCTTTTGACGATTTGCCAATTTAGTCCTACACCTTTTAATGAATTACCAATTTAATCCTTCCAGCTAATTCTGAGCAAAAATCGATGATGTGGTAGTTTAGTCGACACCGGCCATCCTATGTGGCGCGACCAGCTTTGACGTGGATCATTTTTATTTTTGAAAAATTTTATGAATTTCGTATTGATTTTTTTATTTCTTTTCTTTTCTTTTCCTTTCTTCTTCATTGAGCCAACGAGCCGCCGGCCCTTGGGCGAGGGCTTGGGCTCGCGAGCCCTCACTGCGACCAATGAGGGCATTGCGAGCCCTCACTCGGACCCTCGCCGGCCACATTGTCGTTACCCAGGTATTTCACAAATGATACATCCATTTTCATAAATTTCTCATATATATATTTTATTTGTTTTGTTATTAGTTGAGATATGTACATGGATCTTAATAATTCTATCATGATTTGGGAATTACTCATTTTTCAGCAGAAAGCCTCGATTTGGACGAAAAGTGAGTCGTGATTTGGACGACCGGTACCGAATGGAGGAAATATAAAAGGAGACCGATTCCCAACTCCAAATTCACCGGCTACTTCGCAAATGATATGCCTCTTCCTAAATATGTCCCATACATGCATATATTGAAAAAAAGATATTTGCATAAAGTAGAGAGAGAAATCAATTCTTGCTCGATGTCTAAAACGAATATTACGTGGGATCTTTCGTTGAAATATGTAATTTTTTTGTGTTTAATATCAACTAACCCGTTGTTTAGCAATCTACCTAAGTTAATAACAACCCCTTTTTATGTCATTACTAATAAGATTTTCTTTGCTCATCGGAACTTTAGTTAATGAAATTGTAAGTTCGATCATTTTTATTTAATAATCCAACATTGAATGTAGAAATTCCCCCATTTTTTTTTGCGAGAAATTAAAATAGAAAAATGGGAAGCATCTCAGGTCCGAGGTTAGTTCTCACTTGTCAAACTTCATTCTGCTCAGAAGAGAGAGATAGAGAGAGAGAGAGAAGGGAGGACGGAGAAGAAGGAGATGGAAGGGAGAGAATCGTGCACAGTCGAGCGCCGGCGGTTAGGGTTCTTCCTCCTCTCCTTCGTAGCTCTGGTGTGCCTCTGCGATCCGATCCCCGCCGTGGACGCCTCCGTCCACGACTACTTCGGCGAGGCCTTCGCCTCCCGCTCCAACGCCTTCTTCTTCCACGGCGGCAGCGAAGGCCTCCACGCTCCGCGGTCCGCGATCCCGCCTTATTCTTCTTCTTCGTCGGCGGCTCCGAACATCACGACCGGCACCAAGGGGAAGTCCTTCATCAGGTAATCGATTGTTTTTCTCGTTTTCCTGCTCCGGCTCCGATTCGGCTCCCACGTGATTTTGGAAGTTTGCCGGTGGCCCAAATGGATGGACCGTCTTTTGCTGGGTTTCTGGAATGTTGTGCTGAAACGGTGAGATCGTTGAATTTCTTAGATGCAATCGAAGTGCTTTGGACGAGACGCCTGGAATTTGCCTACGTGTCGCTGAAGAAATTTCCGCGTGGCATCCCTTAAATTGGGCATTCAATATAAGTTTCGGGACTTGATCGCATTTTTCGATAAAGGGTTTAGACTTGATTGGAAATTTTAGGACCGGATTGCACTTTCCAAGTGAGGTTTGCGACTCGATTTAAACAATTGAAAGGTGTTGGACTAGATTGCATTTTAGGACTTAAAGGTTGCTGTTTACCCGCTCTCTTTGTATCTTGGATGGGGTGCTGGAATTTCTAGTTTTACTCTGCATCGTTGATTGAGTAGGGCTTTCGCTGGAGGTCCGAGAAGTTGATGATTCATTAACAAGGCGATAATGAGATGGCAGTGGTGGTCCCCCGATTGTTGCTTATTGCGGAAGAAACTGTTTTATTGGTCGATTGTATGTCGGGATGTCTAAGGAAAAACCTTTTTTCTCTGTTGAAATCCGAGTAACGACTGTTTTAATGCTTTGCTGTCTCTAAAATTCTGCTGATGTTCTTTCTATGGGATAGTTCAGGTAATGTAAGGATCATATTTGTACCTCTTGGTGTGCCTGCTTTCCGTTTCTTTTGATGTGCCGGCTCCCTGCTCTATAGACACGAACACATGCGTTCGCACAAAATTAATTGCCTGAACTTATTGCATATTGTCACTGGATTGGAGACAGTATTGTAGTCTCTGTTTATACATCTTTTTTGTGCAAACCCTCGTCAATCTCGGTTTGAAGGTTTTCCCTACGACTATTGATATCGATTCGATTTCATTGTCTTGATTCCACAACTTAGGTTTGATGACGTCACCTTCATAAGGACAAAGGAGTCTGCTAATGCACAGAGCGAAATGCAACAGAATTCTGGCTCGGTGGAGGCTATCATACTTGATATAAAAGATCGGAAAAGGATTGGAGGTTCTTATTTGAAATCTGATATGATATGTTGCACTCCGCAGTTGGCTGATGAGGGAGGCTGCAAATTAGGTGAAGTTATTATTCAGAGAAGCCCAGATAACCGTGAATGGCCTAGACGCATAACAACTTCCTTTGCTGGGAGAAATCAAGAAACAAAGATGGATAGTGTGACTGTTGAGATCGATAAGACAGGGATGTACTACTTGTATTTTATGTTTTGTGATCCACATCTCAAGGGTACCATAATTAAGGGGAGCACAGTATGGAGAAATCCAAGTGGTTATTTGCCTGGAAAAATGGCTCCTTTGATGGTAGTGTTTGGTTTAATGTCATTGGCTTACCTTGTACTTGGACTTATATGGTTTTTGAAGTTTGTTCAACACTGGAAGGATGTCATACAGTTGCATTACCACATAACTGCAGTTATTGCTCTTGGAATGTGTGAATCGGCTCTCTGGTACTTCGAATATTCCAACTTCAACTCTACTGGAAGAAGACCGATGGGCATCACGATATGGGCCGTCACTTTTACTGCTGTTAAGAAAACACTCTCTCGACTTCTCTTACTGGTAGTGTCCATGGGTTTTGGAGTGGTGAGACCTACCCTTGGGGGCATAACCTCAAGAGTGCTTCTTCTTGGTGGAACATATCTAGTTGCATCCGAGTCGTATGAACTCGTTGAACATCTTGGGAATATCAACGACTTTTCTGGAAAGACAGCATTGTTTCTGGTTTTGCCAGTTACATTGCTGGATGCTTGCTTTATATTATGGATCTTTTCGTCATTATCCAAAACTCTGGAGCAGCTTCAGGTACTTTTTTTTCTTATTTCACCCGGAAACCTCTCATTATCTGTTCTGCATAGCTAATTCTATTCTTAGTTATTTGGCAGTAGCGACTAATCAATAGAATGATTTCTAGTGTCGTACTGTGAACATCTTTTAATTATGTTGATTACTAGACATTTGTGAAGTTGATGTTCGGTAAAGAGACACATGCAGATGAAGATCTTATTACAACAGTTATGTTTTTTTTTTCGATGAAAGGAATATTTTCGTTGTCAATGTAAACGTATCAATATTTTCAATGTTTTCGCAATCTACTTGAATCATATCACTGGGAAAATCCTATTTACTATCCTTTTCCGCAAACGTTTCTCAACTTAATCGACAAAGGATCTAAAAGAAGAACCTTGAATGAAGTCATAATGTCTCATTTGATGTGCTGCTGAAACAGTTTTTCCATCTCCCTTTTGGTTTGATGATTTTCAATCTCTGTGCAGACGAAGAGAAATATGGCTAAATTAGAGCTTTACCGAAAATTTACAAATTCACTTGCTGTATCTGTGCTACTTTCAATTGCATGGATTGGCTTTGAGGTAATGAACTTTGTCCTCTACAAAATGATATTTAACCATTGCATAATGATTGGATATAGCTGATATATTTGAGCAGATAATATGATCAAACAACATCTAATGCTAATGCAATTCTGAATTGTTCTGGTCCAGCTATACTTCAATGCTACAGATCCATTGAGTGAGCTGTGGCAAGTTTATTGGATCATTCCAACATTCTGGACTATTCTTGCGTACTCTCTCTTGGTTGTTATTTGCATTCTCTGGGCTCCTTCACGCAACCCAACTAGGTATGATATATATGCTTTCAGTGTTCATTACTTTTTGCTACTGCCTTTAGCACAATAGCAAATGTTGGCTCTGAAGGGTCTCCGCATTTGACTTTCGCCTCTATATTTGTTCCTGTGCTTGTTTGGTGCAATCAGAATTTAAGTTAGTTAGACCCGTAGTTGGAATGTTCTCCCATTTTGTTCCACTCTGCTTGAATTCCATTATTAACAGTGTGGCATAAATTTCTTGCTCTGCTATTCTGAGTTTTTTAGATTTCTATGTTGGAACTTTTTTCATAGGAAGGCATATTAGACTGCAGTCAACTGGATGAATAGTGAACTTGTTTTGGCATAGTACACAGCTGTACATTGCTGCGTAGATTGTACCCTGCAATTTGATGGATCAAATGTTAAATACGAAACTTTATATTCTTGATGAATCAATATCCATTTTTGTTTTTCCATGACTGGGAGGTATGCATGCTGATATATTAGTTTGTGAGTTCTCTGCAAAAAAGAAAAATGAAAACAAATGGAGGATACCCTGGAATGTTGGAAGCTAGAATTTATTCTTTGTCTGTTGTTTACTTCCTCAATTCCGACGTCATTGAGTCTGGATCTCTGTCATCTTTCTGTCTCATTTACCCCTTTTAGGATCTGTACATGTATTTGCACCATGTAATCCTCCAAAGTGGAGAAGGAAACGGTGATGAGAATTACAATATTGCGACGAGAATTATATGATATAATATTGTTTCAAATGGCAAACATAGTCCTATTCCATCTAGTCACTTTATTTGGTCCTACCATGTAATTTTTATATTTTGACTATGCAACAGGAAGTAATGTTGATAATCTTGCCAATGCGTTTTCATCATCATTGACATAATGGCAGTTCTTTTGAATCTATTATGTTCCCCATGCTTCTATGGGTTCCCTTCCCTCATTTACATGTAATCATCCTTCTGCAGTTTGTTAAGGTTCTGTTCAATGTGGTAATGTTTTGTTGAACGAATCTAAATGGTTTGTGACTTGTAGATATGCATACTTGGAAGAGAATGAAGACGTTGAGGAGGGCATCTCTTTGACAAGTTCTAGCAAGGCGACAGGTGATAGTGTGACCAAACTCGGAGAAGATGTTGAGGAGGAGAAGCGCGAATAGATGGCACTCTTATCTGCGTTGATGTCTTAGTTCTCTGTACATTTTGTTACACAATCCATCCTGTACCTACTACAGACTCGCAACTGATATGTTCATAGAGTTTACAGATGGGGAAGAGAGTAATACTAACGAGATACTATGGATTTACAGAGTGAGGACACCTCTCTCTCTAGTTACGATTTTTCTTCCTTCTGTGATTATTCAGTAGAGAACTCAAACTAGGAAATGGAACTGAGAAATGAGAAAATGTCTCATAGCTGAGGCTCTTAACTCTGTGCCCCTCTTTCTCCCCATATGACAATTACTTATAGTTGACATCTTTCCTTTAATGTAATTCAATCCCTTTTTGAGATATTTCCCATTATGCACTCGGATTTCATGCATGATGGTTTATGTCCCTTTTCATTGGAATCGGATGTGCTTAATGGCAGGCTTTGCACTGTAAAATGCAATTCAGAGATTGCAATAACCACTAGAAGTCAGAAATAGTTTGAGGCATTAGCATGAGGCCATCTCTACTTCTAAAGAATAAGCCGCGAAGAGAATGGGACATTGAACCGGTAGTAGAGAGACTATCGGGTACTTGAATAAGTTCTACCGCATGCTAATTGTGGACCCGAAAGATATATATGAAGAATACTATAAAAGACGGTTGCACAAGATGCGCTGGCATGATACAGCTCCAAACTCATTCAATCAAATTTTCTTCTTTTATGAGCCGCAGCAGATTGGCTATTCCATCTTTTCCTCTTTCTGGTGATGTTGATTGATCAGGGTCGCACTCCATTAGTTTCATTGTTTAGTTGACCTTGTGCCCAGTGTAATTATAGGGTGACGAGCATTTCGGTAACTGTCGATCTATATGTAGCAATTCTATGCGAAACACCACATTTTATCATTGCGAATTTGGTGGTAAGATCCTGTTTACCATGAATTCAGACTTCTAGGTAAATATTGGCAGTTCGTAAGAACAATGGAACTTTCTGTCAATACTTAAAAGTTTTCAAAACCTAAAACATGGGCATACATAGTCAGACAGGTACATGTCCATACCATTAGATCGATCGCCTCTAAAATTTGTTTTCCTGCACGTACTTCCCTGGGAATGTCACAGCTGATAAAGATCGGAAAAACTCACCGAACGCGAATCATCGGAACTTCGACATAGACGATTTGATCACTGCAAAGAGAACCTCATCTACCGTCTAAGCTCACCCGGATCTGGCTATTGCTAGTGCTTCAAAGATCTCTCTCTCTCTCACACACACGCACAGCTAAACACCATGCAAAAACCTTGCAGCAGACAATACCTTGGTGTTCCTGTATTGTAACTGCTGTCTTCAATATTGTAGTAGTCAGGTCAATGCAATTCTTTCTTTTTCATCGGAAGATAGACGAAACACCGGTAGACCATCTCTTTTTTTACTGCACCTATTATGATCATCACCGGACCCTCTGGCGCTTGAAAGTTCCGCCCCTTCTTTCAGCATGTACCGTGCTTATCTGATGATGTCTCGAAATCCTTGATTTCCGTGAACCTCTCCTCGACGCAAAAGAAACACACCTAGACTTCAGCTTCACATGCCTGCGGCGGTGATGGCGATGGTGCCGGTGGCTACGGTTGCTATATGAAGCAAGAGGGCCTTCTGTCCTCTCTCTGAGTAGTTTCCTTTTCCTACTTGCGCTCAGATGACGACTCGAATAATCATAACTTATGTCACCCAGGCTATGTCCTGCTTCAAAGTCTCGGAAGCGGCGTCGCCCACGGTATACCCGCTTAGTGCTGGATATCTTGTACCACACGAAACAGCAAATGTGGCCCAGCGCGTGCCAGTACGTCTCGCACGTGACCCAGCACATGTTACAGAGGCTTCTCCCTATGCACTGGCAAATCCCCAGCTTGAACAACAGATACAGGAATAGTAGACCTGAAAACCATCGCGCCCACACGAAAACACGTCAGCTGATCATGAAATTGTAGGAATACCGGATCCCGGTTTTCTAATCGAATGCACAAGATTACAATGCAGGAATTACTCGCGAAAGCTTCAAATGAGAAGGCAGATAGTTCTCTAAACATTGCATTTTGCCAATAAGTATATCTTAGAAGCAGAGAGTTCCTCAAACTTGTCTGGAATCTGAGAGAATATCAAATGATAGTGGTCGCTGGAAAAATCCTCGACATTATTTCTCTGGTAGAATGCTAAAATGAGATTATCGATATGGAAAAGACATGATATATCCTTTACCATAGTCTCAACCAAAAGGTACAACATCATAAGAACTGAAGGACTGATTTTTGGCTAGCAAATCAAATCTATTTTAGCCTAGTGAAGCGAAGCTCGGTGACTAGCAGAGAGAAATGACAGTCTGGACGGAGAGATAATGAGGGAAATGAGTACATTACCTATGTAACAGAGGACACATATCAGCAAGAGTTTGATCAGATTCGTGACGCATAGATGCTCGATAAAACAAACTACATCCCACGGTCCCGAGCATAGTTCCCTGCATCATTGGAAACAATGGGAAACTAGGTAAACATATGGAGACTGGAACAATGAGGTGAAACAGAAAGGTAACTCAAGAATTTAATACGGATGACAGATAAATCATCCGTAAAAGATATCGAGCAATGCCAGAAACAATTATTTTTTTGTTACAAGCTCTGCGCCGCAGATTGTTTTCGAGTTTTTTGCCAAACCAGACCAGGAATGGACTTACATGGTTTCAGACATAACAATATGAACAAGAACCGGAAATAACAACATAAGAGTTGTAATTGGCGGACGCCAAAACTATCTGAATGAAGCAAAGTTCATATTAAGAAAGCGCTTACTCGCACGATCCGCCGAAAATGGTCTTGAATGGAGCGGCGAGAGCATTTCCAACGACAGAGCCGACGCTATTAGCAGCTTTACTGAGAACATCTCCCATTGCTTTATCTGCCTTTCTCCATCTAAATCAGTGCCTGAGAAATCAATAATTGCAACACTAATGTCATTCCCTGAGGGTAAAATGATAACAAAAAAGGGACAAAACAATCCTCCAACTTCTGTTCTTTTGTTTCACGACGTATCCATTGTCCCTTTTCTGGTTTACATTATGAGAAGAATTGAACAGCCTCCCGCGATTCACAATGCAAAAGCATGAGGCTTTTCGCCAACCCAAATTCATCAAAAGCCCCAGAAAAAGAAAATGGCCGCTTACACTACACGATCTCATCATTTCCTAAACTCAGTTTCATGGCTTTTACGCAAACGAGATCACGGAGAAGACAAGGAAACTGCATATTATGGATGTTACAATGTGAAGCAAAGATGGAGGACCGCTTTGTATTGTAAAAAACTCTTCGCCGCCGATGTCGAGTTCTGGTCGATCTTTACCAGATGCTTCGGGCCGCGACCAGGGATGCTTGCGTTGCCCAGAGCAACCTCCGCTCCAGAAGGAACAATGGGAGGGGATGTCAGGAACCCCGTCTAAGAATACGTTTTGACAAGACAGAATGCACGAGCGAGATGGAAGCACCGAGAACATCTACGGGATACCCATCTGAACTGACGACAAGACCATCGATATACTACAGATCCCAACAGACTTCTCCTTCCACAGACTATCAGAGACGACAAATCCGTGGAGGGGAATACCAGTGGGAACCACTTTTTGAAGTGTTAGTTAAACTGAAGAAGGAGAGAGGATGAACGAACGGTTATCATCCCTCGTCATCAGTTTTCTTCTGTGTTCGTGAAGGGATGCCATGCCATTACCTTTCGGCGTCTAATTGTATAAAAAATTGAGAATGTGAAAGTCTCCGCTACCCTATTGTGTAGGTAACTGCCTTCCATACTCCCTTTTAAGCTTATATACTGCGACGGGATTCGCACCGCGTCGTTCGACAGGACCCTTATTTGGAAATTATGAATCATAAAATCGGGCCGTCTGTCTCAATTACCTGCCATTTTGAACATCACAATTTCAAAAAAGGGTTTCTCGACTTTAAGTCTATACGTAGTGACCATCGGTGTACCATGAGCGGCGGGTTTGCATCCATCTCACGTGCAAACCAGATGAGGAACGGCGATGCATATAATCGACAGATTGGAATAAGTTGACGACAAACCACAGAAGGAATGATACATTATAATGAGCATGAACAATTTGAAATTTGGTTTTTATACCATGAAAAAGAATTATGGGTCGGCCTGAATGATGATGAGAAGCAGTGCAGGTCTCAGTGAGAGAAAGTAAGAGTCACAATAAAGGATCAACAGCAAAACAATGACATAACATGACGAAGCATCATTAGTTGGTCTCATTCGAAACATTCGAATTAATTACTCTAAAATGAATCGCAACGACCAACCGAGACATACTCAGCTTCCCCCGACACACGTGTAAGCCCATTTCTTTCTTTCTTTCTTTTGTCAAAGTTCAAGCCCCATTTCACATTTACATTATGTTCCCTCTTCCTGTCCCAATGACTTTATGTTTTTCAGATTGGTTCTTCGTGAAATCCCTTTGTTTCGTGAAAATTAAATGATTCGGCAAATATTTTCCTAAAAATGATCGCTTATATCGCTTAAAAAAATAAGTGAATGAAAAAATATTTTCATCGTCAACGAAAATGTTTATATATAAATTGATGTTGATAACGAAAATATTTTTCAATTGTTAATTATTTCAAGTAATACAAGCGATCGTTTTTAGGAAAATAATTTACAACTCGTTTATTTTCCACTAAACAAACGGAGATAAGAAAAGACAGTTTTTGAAAGGAGAATAACAAATGGATACATATTGTGTGTCCATGGGAAAACGTATCTCGTGTTACCGTGTGATAAGCATTCCAACGACCATTTGCGTTTGAATTTTGAAACTCTCAATCTTTATCGGTCGATTTTTCTGCACATGTCACATTCACAGGGAAAATTGTTTAAAAAGTCATAAACATATTGTACTTTTACCAATATAGTCTTAAACCTTTTAATTTTGCCAATTGAGTCCTAAACTTTTTCATGTTTTGCTAATTGAGTCCATTCGATCAATTTTAGCCAAAAATCGCTGATTTGGCAGTCCAGTCAACGTTAGCCGTCCTACGTGGCACAATTGACATTTGAGTGGACAAACTTTAATAATTTTTTATTCTTTTTTATTTTTTGATTATTTTTTATTTTTCCTTTTTCTTTTATTATTTTTTGGTTCAAAGGGGGAGGGCCTCGAAGCCCTCGCCGAATCTGGCAAGCCCTCGAGAACCCTCACTATGGCTAGGCATGGTGGCACTCCCCAGCCATGGTGAGGGCGGAGGAGGGCTTTGCGGCCCTCACCTAGGAGCCAGCGGGAGTCGCCGGCCTTTGGTTAATGGTCAGTGGAGGTCGCCGACCCTTTGAACCCAAAAAGAAAAAGAAAAGATAAAAACTATTATTAAAAATTGTCCACATTAGCTCCGGCCATGCCACATAGGACAGCTGACGCCCACGTTAGCGATTTCTGGCCAAAATTGACCGAATGGACTCAATTGACAAAACTTGAAGAGGTTTAAGATTTAATTGGCAAAATTAAAAAAGGTTGAGGATTGAATTGGCAAAACGTAATAGGCTTAGAACTATTTACCGCCATAAGAGAATGCCTTCTCCGGCCTATAAGGGTTCGTTTGGTAACCATTTTGTTCCCGAAAATAATTTCTGCTCAGAAATGATTTTTTTATTCCGTTCCCGGAATAAATTTCTAAGCATTTGAAGGCGTTTGGTAACTGCCCAAAATTTCTATTCCTGGAATAAAAAAAGAACAGAAATGCATTTGGTAACTACACAAAATTTCTTTTTATTAATAATATTTTGAATTTTTTAATATTTCTTTCTTTTTTTTCCATTTTTTTTCGTTTTTTCTTCTTCTCCTTCCTTGGCCCATGGCTAGGTTGCCGGCCACAGGCGAGGGCAGCCCTTGTCCAGGCTGTGAGGGTCCAGCCCTCGCCCTCGCCGGTGAGGGCCGCGACGTCCTGGTTGGCCTTGGCTTGTGGCTAGTCGCCAGATCGGCCACAGGGCAGGAAAAATGAAGACCGGCCACGAAAAAGAAGAAGAAAAAAAAATTTCTTTTCTATTTCTGATTTTTGTTCCCAGAATCAAGAATCAACCTTTTTTTTATTCTTGATTCTGTTTCAAAACTGATTCTGGGAACAAATTTGTGTCAGGGAACAAAAAATTTATCAAACGAATTTATGTTCTTTTTTTGTTTTCGGGAACAAAAGAATAGAGTATTGTTTGGTCGGTTACCAAACAGCCCCTAAGATGACAAATTGTTAGTGGTGTAAATCACAACAAAACACCGCATAAAAGTAATGATCCTCCATGAAGCATCCCAAAGTTTGCAAACATATATAAAAGTAGTAACTAAGACGAATTGCGCACTATCAATCTCGAATAATAAAATTATCGTTATATGTTTCACAATAATTATGAGGTAGATTAATTTAATTCATGAAGAAAAGGGGATAGAGAGAGACTCTAAAGGCCAAGAAGAATCTCATAAAGATATGTTATGCGAGATACTTTATTATCAATATGTCTCAACCTAAATCTAAAAGATTCCAAGAAGTAACTGGGCAACACAACACCCATTATTGCAAGTCGCCACACCGTGAGTCACCAAGCCTAGACTCTAACGGCACGCCATCTAGTAACTTGTTGCTACATCATGACACCCGCCTTCGTCCATTGTGTCTCATCAGTGCATACTATATTAGTTACCCGATGTGAGATTACGCTCCACCAATGCATTCGCCCTCGCACCTTAACATGATTAATGAAAATAAACGACTTCCTAGATTGAATAATCCACTTTTCTCAAAATGAATTATTGCTATCAATAAATTATTTTTGGAGCGAATTGTCAAGATTCGATATCAAAACATGTACTCTAATATCATGTAAGACAAAACATTCTTTCAACAATATATAAACATAGTTCTCAACGATTTTTTTTTTTTATCTGTCATACTCTAACTCTCAGCTCATTCTCAGGCTTTTGGAGTCAAAACCCAGATTTGAAACTAAATATCTTCACCCTTAACCCCTCTCAGAAGGTAAGGGATCGAACTCCCCACCTTCTACTTTTCTAGTAGGAAGGGTGGTCACTTAAGCAAATACTGGTTCTCAATGATTACTAGCTTGAAAATATTATCCGTTGTACAATTATTACTGACCAGGAGATTCATTTGGCTAGGATAATTGCAAGTTATTGCATAAACTATTGAATTAGGTCACCCACTTCCAGAAAAAAAAAATATCGCATGGTCTATAGATTATATAGATCAAACCCATCTAGACCGTTAATCATGGGGAGTCCACGGTGAAGCTCACACAATTAATAATTGAAATGATCTACGTTCATATGACTTATTTATCATGTAATAGCTTACATGTCGGTCTTAGTCGGAGAAGTAAGAATCACAAGTAAGGCTCGACAGAAACCAAATGACTAAGCATGAAAGACAATTAATTACTCTCTTATCACTCGCAACGACCAACTAATACTCAACCTCCCTCAACACGTGTCCATTGTTCAACCCCTCCCCATTTTCTATATAAACTCACGAACCCAATCACGTTTAGACTCTCCCAATTACCTACTCCAATAGCTTTCATACCCTCCACAAAGTAACTCTCACCTGTATAGCTCGGAGTATTCACAATGGCTTACTCCACATTGTTGAAGCTGGCTTGTGTGCTGCTCGCATGCATGGTGGCGGCGGCTCCGGCAGCTCGAGCCACAGTGACGTGCGGCCAGGTGTCGAGCACTCTGGCCCCATGCATTCCCTACGTGAGGAGCGGCACAGGGCCGTGCCGGCATCTTGCTGCAATGGGATCAAGTCGCTCAACTCGGCGGCTCGGACCACGCCGGACCGCCAAGCCACTTGCAAGTGCTTGAAATCGGTCTCGGGAAGCATCTCTAGCCTTAATTATGGAGTCGTCGCTGGACTTCCCGGAAAGTGTGGGGTCAGTATCCCGTACAAGATCAGCCCCAGCACCAATTGTGACAGGTATGTGCTTTTAATCTCGTGTTCCAAAGGTGCGACGAAACCTTATCTTTCCTTGACCACAAATCATTAGTATGTTACGTGATACATGCATTGTGTAAAACATACTTTCTTCATATCTAGAGCCGCTGTTTTTCCTTCTTTTTGTATTTTGTTTTTGTGAAATTAATTTACAGTTGGGAAGCTGATTGTTAGATGTTTTGTTGCAGCGTGAAGTGAGAATGGATCGTACGAGTACGTTTCAGCATCTGAGATAGAAAGAGTAGTTAGCTTTGAATAAAATGAATTTACGAACCAATATTGGGTTCGTAACTTGATTGTGTATGACTAGTATCCTTTGCTTGTGCTATGTACTAATAATAAGAATATAAATGAAGCTGAAATGAAGGAAATTACGATATGTTTCCTTTTCTTTGTTCTCAGTATCATTTCGTGTTTTTCTTTTTCCATTATTCTTCTCATATTGGCAATTTTCAAAGGAAGAGAAGACGTGGCGTTGAAGGGTGAATAACGAATGGATATTGTTGGAGTGTGCTTCGTACTTTGCTCCGACGGGAAGGTTCAGTGATTCCGCTCCCCAGTGAGTAGGCGGGGGTTGTAGGGGGCAGCGCCCCCTAGAACCAAGAAGGCTTATATTTTTTGAGTTTGTATTTTATTGATAGTTTAAGCTTGTACTCATGAATAACTATTGTTACCTATATATATATTCTATTTATCTTGTAATTGAGTGATGTAACAAAAAGTATGATGTGTCAATTATAGTGGAATCATCT